CCACGAATTTAACCCAAAACTTTGGCGAAGATCATTGGGCTCTGCGGAAAACCAACTTGGCTTTCGACAGATTCCTAATAATGTCTGATTAATTAGATTAATCTCATCACAAGGAAAGATTCGGATATACCCTTGGAACGAATTCTTCCTGTAAATGTCATTTTCGAGGATGTAAGCTGAGTCTTTGATGAGATCTCACCTCGGTTTTTTGGATTAGACTAGAAACGTTTGTCGATGGTTCTGTAGACAAAAATTAATCTTTAGTTAAACTTCTGTTAATTTGGAAGTATTGGTTTATTTAAAACATTGTCTTTTCATTAACAAAAAGCACCTCGTCAGACTGAATAGTATTTTGTTCTATTGGGACGATTCCAGAGCATCTCCTGTCTTACTTCATATAAAAACCTACCAACTACGGCAAATTTATTTATCTTATTCTTTAAGAAAGACGTCAAACTGGTAAAACGTGCGTGCTGAAGTTGGTAAGTCAGAAGTAAACGCATATTTATCTGCACAGGTTAAATGAAAGAATCGGTGGTCATTTAAATCCAACAGAAAATGGTTCCAGCCTGAAGGTATTAGTGATCCTCTGCTCCAAGACACGGAAGCCCTTTAAGCAAAAGCTTCTTCTACTCCGTCCACAACCATTTGACCCATTTGAATCAGGGGTAAATTTTTACAAATATGTAGTGATGTAAATCACCAGCTGTGACTTCACCTGAAGATATAGGTTATAACAAGTTGAGAGTCATAGCAAGAAACGACCATACAACTACAAATAACTGGAGCCGGTTGTTTCAGAGGCTTTTAAATCTTGTAGAGAACATGCAAAGTATTTTGGAACTTGGGTGAAGATATTTTCAAAATAGTCACCCAACAAATGTGAAACCATATCCTAAATGTATGAATAGGAAAGCGAGCTTATGTTTTAAATATAAAGTGGATAAGCTGTAGTTCATTCAAAAGCAACGACTAAACTGGCAAATGGTCTGTTTTCTTATGTGTAGCTTTTATTATATCATTCGAATGATAAACAGTCAGGTGTTCTTTAGTTGGACCTAAAAATACTGTTACTTTTTGACCCTTGTTTCTTTCGTGATAGGTAAAACTTTGTATTGGGAAGAAGTTATTTCCTGAAAAAACTAGCAGCTAAAATTTATGTAGATTTATAGTGAATCCTATATTCCGTCTTTTCTTATAATTACGAAGAATTTCCAATGTCTTATACAATTTTTCGACTTTTACTGTAAATTACATAGTTACTGTCTAAAAGTGTGATTTCAGGTAATCAACACATTATTTAATATTACTGCAAATGGTTGATGACGAAAATAATATAGTTAGCTCATATCCGTGTTTAAAAGCAAGTTTTACTCGCATATACTTCGGATTTTAACGTACGAAGTGTAATATAATAGATTTTTAATACTAAAAGATAATTTTGAGGGTGAGTAAATGTTTTTTCACAACTACCATCATTATTAGGTTATTCCATTAAGTGGCTTGCATCGCCACAATCAAACAATCGGTATTTAGCATTTGAAAACGATTATTATGTTTGTTTGATTACAGCAAGATAGAGGACACTTACATAAACTCTAAGACAGTGTCTGGAAATGTGAATATAAATTTTTATTTACTTTTAACCGTGATATTTTACATGGCTTTATTAGCCTAAAACTTCGCCTGTAGCTCTTCTAGAGTTACTGCCGGTCCCAAGCCCGGGTAAAGGAGGAGGGTTGGGCATGGGGTTAGCGTCCCCATCCCGTAGAAAACTAACTCGTTAAAAAAACGCTTACCGGAAAAAATAATTCAAACCATTTTAACTCTGCCCTGAGAGTTAGAAGGTCTTCATTTAGAAGAATTATGACGCTTCATGGTGAAAGCCGAGTTCCTTCGGAAGCCACGAGGCCGATGCCCCTTCTAACAACCAGAGCAAATATTTTTATAGGTACATGGAACGTTCGAACAATGTGGGAAACCGGGAAGACCAGCCAAATAGCAACGGAAATGAGGAGATACAACTTGGCAGTACTGGGAATCAGCGAAACCCACTGGACCCAAGCTGGACAGAAAAGGCTAGCTACGGGAGAGATGCTGCTATACACCGGTCACGAAGAGGAAAATGCTCCACACACAGAGAGTTGCTCTAATGCTGTCCAAAGTAGCACGAACTGCACTTGTAGGATGGGAATCTCGCGGATCCAGAATCATCAAAGCATCATTCAAAACAAAGAAGGAGGGGATCTTAATGAATATTATCCAATGTTATGCACCCACCAATGATAGCAACGACGACATTAAAGATCAATTCTACGAGCGGCTGCAGTCAATCATAGAGAAATGCTCAAGAAAGGACCTCACCATTCTGATGGGAGATCTAAATGCCAAGGTCGGAATAGACAACACTGGATATGAAGATATTATGGGACGACATGGACTGGGAGAGAGGAACGAAAATGGAGAAAGATTTGCAAATTTGTGTGCATTCAACAAATTAGTCATAGGAGGCACAATATTTCCACACAAGCGTATACACAAGGCTACATGGATCTCACCGGACCACACTACAGAGAACCAGATAGACCATATTTGCATCAACAAAAAATTCCGAAGGACAATGGAAGATGTGAGAACCAGGAGAGGAGCTGACGTAGCTTCAGATCACCACCTAGTTGTAGCCAATTTAAAACTGAAGCTAAAAAAGTACTGGACAAGTGGACTACAAAGGTTCAATACAGCCTTCCTTCGAGATACTGACAAACTCAATGAATTCAAGATAGCTCTCAACAACAGGTACCAAGCTTTACAGGATCTACTGAAGGAAGAAGAAACTACTATGGAGGACAACTGGAAAGGCATCAAAGAAACATTGACTTCAACGTGTCAAGAGGTTCTGGGCCTAAAGAAACACCATCATAAGGAATGGATCTCTATAGAAACACTGGACACGATCAAAGAAAGGAAGAACAAGAAGATAGAAATTAACAACAGCCGAACACGAGCAGAGAAAGTCCAAGCACAAGCTGAATACATGGAAGCAAACAAGCAAGTGAAGAAAAGCATTAGAGCAGCCAAGCAGAAATACGTGGAAGAACTAGCAACGACTGCGGAAAAAGCTGCAAGGGAAGGAAATATGAAACAACTTTACGATACAACGAAGAAACTAGCAGAGAAATACAGTAAACCAGAGAGACCGGTCAAGGACAAAGAAGGCAGGCCAATCACTGAAATGCAATAACGGCGGAACAGATGGGTAGAATACTTCGAGAAACTCCTGAATAGGCCGGCTCAAATGAATCCACCGGACATCGAATCAGCGCACACAGATCTTCCTATAGATGTCAACCCACCAACGACGGAAGAATGGCCGTCAGACAAATCAAGAACGGGAAAGCAGCAGGACCCGACAACATACCAGCTGAAGCACAGAAATCAGACGTCGAAGTAACCACAAGCATGCTTTACCCTCTATTTTAAAAGATTTGGGAGGAGGAACAAGTGCCAATGGACTGGAAAGAAGGACACCTCATCAAGATTCCAAAGAAAGGAGATCTGAGCAAATGTGAAAACTACAGAGGCATTGCACTACTGTCAATACCAGGTGAAGTCTTCAACAGAGTGTTGCTGAACCGGATGAAGGATGCAGTAGATGCGCAACTTCGAGATCAACAAGCTGGATTCCGAAAGGATCGCTTGTGCACAGACCAAATTGCAACACTACGGATCATCGTCGAACAATCAGTTAAGTGGAACTCGTCACTATACATCAACTTCATTGATTATGAAAAGGCATTCGACAGTGTAGATAGGAGGACATTATGGAAACTTCTTCGACACTACGGAGTTCTTGAGAAGATTGTCAATATTATCCGGAACTCATACGACGGACTACAGTGCAAAGTATTGCATGGAGGACAGCTGACAGATGCATTCCAAGTAAGGACCGGAGTCAGACAAGGCTGTCTACTCTCCCCCTTCCTCTTTCTTCTGGTGGTCGACTGGATTATGAAGACCTCGACATCTGAAGGAAAACACGGAATACAATGGACAGCTCAGAACCAATTAGACGATCTGGACTTCGCAGATGACCTAGCCCTCCTATCACGTACACGTGAACAGATTCAGATAAAGACAGCCAATGTAGCAGCAGTCTCTGCATCAGTAGGCCTCAGTATACACAAAGGGAAAACCAAGGTCCTCAAATTCAAAGCGGAGAACAGCAATCCAATCACCCTTGATGGCGAAACTCTGGAAGATGTAGAATCCTTCACATAACCGGGAAGCATCGTCGATATACAAGGAGGTTCAGATGCAGACGTAAAGGCGAGGATTGGCAAAGCAAGGGCCGCATTCCTACAATTGAACAACATATGGAACTCAAAACATCTTTCAACCAATATCAAAGTGAGAATCTTCAATACGAATGTCAAGGCAGTTCTACTGTACGGAGCTGAAACTTGGAGAAATACAACAACCACAATCAAGAAAGTACAAGTATTTATAAATAGCTGTCTACGCAAGATACTCAACATCCATTGGCTGGATACCAACAGCAATAGCCTTCTGTGGGAGAGAACAAACCAACTTCCAGCTGAAGAGGAAATTAGGAAAAGACGATGGAAATGGATAGGACATACATTACGCAAATCGTCAAACTGCATCACGAGGCAAGCTCTAACTTGGAATCCTGAAGGGAAGCGGAAAAGAGGAAGGCCAAAGAACACATTACGTCGGATAATAGAAGCAGATATGAAAAGGATGAATTACAACTGGAAGGAGCTGGAAAGGATTGCCCAGGACAGGGTTGGATGGAGAATGCTGGTGAGCGACCTATGCTCCTTCACGAGGAGTAACAGGTGTAAGTAAGTAAGTAAGTAAGTTATTAGCCTAAACATTTATGAACACATCAAAGAATATTTTATCATTGTATAGTTGTTTGTTAATTTTAATACTCATAACGTCAATTATTTATACATTATTCACTTCAAGTTTAAATAATGATACAAGAATTCACTGATGAAATTGTTCATGGGGTTCAATGTTATTCACAGTGTTCAGAAACCAAGTAAGCGAGATCATACTTATCATAATAGTGTAAATTATACTTCACTTTTAATCAATTGCTTATTAACGACTAGGTCCTAGAAATCTTATAATCAAAACCGTTTGAGCTAGCGTGCAGTATAAGAGCTGAATGAAAATGAGGTGAAAGGCTATTCGTATCTGATTTTAAAATGATCTTTTGGCAGTTTTAAGTCAAAACATAATAAAAATGATCTATTACATTTCGTTTACCTATAGGTGGATAAACTTTGTCGGATATGTTACAAACTGATGGAGTGATAACCACTTATGAGAACTATACTAGTAAATAATGAAGAAACGGCTACTAAAGCTGTAAGCAAAATAAAATACTTAGTTTTGGTATTATCGTTTTCAACAATAATCCGTAGGTAACATGTAGTGCACAATACCCAAAGGTCAATTTTGTCTGATATCAAGGTTGTTTATTAATTTTGTCAAACTTTACCAGTTGAATTAAATGCTTCATTTGTTGGGAATACATCTAAATCAGTGTGGTGTATCCGTAGACACACTCACTCGATCATCATCATTATGAGGACTTGATATAGGATGCTGACACTACTTCAAAGTTCAGGCCACTAGGTCAATTATAATCAAGAAAATGATTTCAGAGAAAGGTTATTTTTAACTTCAAATATGAATTTGTTATTATAAAGAAGAATTTATTTCAAAACAAATTGCTGGGACGCATACGTAATCAGAACAAATTACATATAAAACTTGCTTTGACTACTCCTAATAAACTACAAAGTTACTAAATAAGTGAATTCGAAAACTAGGTTTACGCTAAAAATCGACGGTCGGTATTGAACTTTAAGCTGGTTTCAGAAGCTTGTTTACTAGCCACTATTCTCCTCAAGTTATAAAGCTAAAGAAATCTTAAGTATCACCAGTACGTTTTTTCAGAAGCGTTACGGTCTCATAGTTATCAGTGGTCTACTTCCTTCTTTGCAAAGGTAACTTATAATTAAGAATGAAATGACAGTTATCTTGCAAGTCTTCAAATTTCAAAATCAAACTGAAAGTATGAGTTATAAACAGTTTTAGATAAACACAAGATCTACCGTTTTACTAATTTCATCTTTAAAATCAATATGTCGAGCCTAAGGACTCTTAATGTAAGGGAACTAGAACCCTGAATAAAATAAAACCAGAACACTTTAACATTCTCAATTCCTGGGGTGATTGTTTTTCAAATCATCACAATGGAATGAATCATCAATGCATAAACCTTAATAAAAGGCGATATTTTGTTATGGTACATAAACTGTAAACTAATGGAGAAAAAGTCATATAACCAAGATGAATATGAGCAAAAGCGTAACAACAAAAACAAATTTTTTCGTAGATAATGACAAAGAGAATATATTTTATTTGATTGTAATCACAGATCTTGACATTCTCGAAACCTCACACTGGTTAGCTTTTACATCTATGCAATGGTCAAATCAATTTTCAGTGGTTCGCTGTATGTATGTTTTGTAAGCCAACTGCCTACCAGATATGTTTTCCTGCTCCGAATATTTATAATTCCTGACTTCATTCTTGACTCCAGTCTGAGCGGGAAATATATTAAAACCATCTATCATCAAATACTAATGATCTACATATACCTTACACTTCATTTCTACAATAATATTCATCAGTAATTCATCTGAACAAAATGCTTGTAATTATATTTCCGAATTAGTTTCAAGCCTAGTCATATAGCTCGAAAATATATCCATTTTGTCTGTACTTTAGCATGCATTACATTCATTTTGTAACGATGCATAATTACCTATTGTTCTAAGTTTTTTCTAAATAAATTTACACAATTAATAATCTTATAGATCATTTGTCGAGTTACAAATGCAAACGGAATCTTATCAAGTGTTTCATCGTGGTACGCAATCGAGACGGTATAAAACTCAAGAAGTAATTGCTTTTCTTGATAGTGATTTTGATGATTTCTCTCTGATTTTCAGCTTCAAACAAGCTTTTGTCATCAAGATGAAACACTGCATGATGACGTACTTACTAACAACGATAAGTTGACTGAAGAAACAAGAATATTATGTTTTCTTAAACGTACTGAGCCAATCGTTACAAAAGAGATACAAAAAAATATCCACTCCAAAGTTTTTAGACAATCACAGTCAAGAAGACTATTTTATAGAAACAATGCATCGGTGAAACATACACTCATTCTTAATGAAGCAAAAGAATCCAAAGTAGTGTGAATACAATAAATTACTGATAAACTATTTGTTAGTTATCTGTTACAGGATTATCTTGGAATTCCAATGGGACACTATTAGCGATATCGTATCCTTTTTTCTTTATTTTAAACCTAATTCATTAGCTGACAATTTGTTCCAAATGGTAGGGTGAGCTTTTGACAAAGGAATAATTAATAAAAAAAATATGAGGTAGATTGAACCAAAAACTGCTGAGGAGTCCCGCAATAGGATGAAACGGCCGTCCAGTGCTTCCAGCTTTTCCATGGTGGTCTAGCTTTAATTGACTCATGATTTCAACAATTGAAATTATTAAAATCCCTACAAAGCCCCTTCTGATAATAAACAAAAATATCTAGTTATAATTATGGAAAAGGTTAAATTAGGTGTCACTTAGTTATTCAGTGGTTCGAACATTGAATCTGTTTTTTTACAACTAAAATGTATTCTTGCTTTAAAACTAAACCAGTCGTTTACCATACGAATGCTTTACTTCACCACTTTAACATAACGTATCACAGATATGGATCATTGTGTCATACTGATTGGTGTACACATAATGGCATGGCTGCACTTTGGATTGTGTCAAATGAAACATTGGTAATCAATACTCCTAAGCAAAAATATGTAACAGATACTTGTCTAATGTGTATTAAATTTCATCCAACAGTTCCATCTTTGTTAGCTGGAGGGACATTTACAGGTTAGTTTAAATGCATATATATATATATATATATATATATATATATATATATACCCTCTATAATTAGTATTATTATTTATTATTTATTTGAACACATAAATATTGGTACAAGAGAGCGCCAATATATATGCGCCCCCTGAATGCCCTGGTACGGCCGAGAGTGGGGAGAGTCCGCTCTCCCTCTCGAAATATTCTCACACGGCCACGCGTATATAGCCTCTGCCAGGGAAGTCCTACTCATTGCCTTCTCGTGGCGGGGGTGTTGTTTACGAAAATGAGAGGACGAGAAGCGAATGTCCGGCGCTTTAACCGGATTCCAAACCAATGGTGCACATGGGCTCCAGTATCCTGCGGGAACGAATGGCGTATGAACCAGTCGTTGGTCACCGGCTACCATGGGACTGCATCTCCTTACGATGCTCCACTGCCTTGTGGGTTAGACCTTTAGGTCAAAGGCTCGGGGAGTGGCCCCCTAAGATAACCACCTGCTTCGGTTTGGGCACCCGGGCAGTATCACAGCCCACACACAAATGATGAACTGTTTATGTCTATAATTAGTAAGCGAAGGGTATCTGAAAATATCATGTTGAGATTGAGAAGACGCCTTTTTGCTCATTGGAAAGAATTACATGTTATTGAATATTATAAAGAGCGAAGTTTAATGGCAAAGTTTTATTGGTATGTTCATCGACCTCATTAAGAAGTGTAGAAGAAGTGAGCTATTAGAATGTCTTTACAAGTGGCCAGAAGCCTCCCTTGTTGATAGTCAGTCGAATTCCATAAGCTGTTTTTCAGTTAGGAAAGAATTTTCGGGACTTACTTCATTTAAATTTTATGCATATGATACTGCCTATAAAGAAAATAAAGACTTCATAGTTAAACCATTCATCTCAAAAAATTAAACACTACTACCGTATCTTTTAACCTTCTGCGCTGATTGAGTCGTTTGACTTTTAAACTAAGTAAATTTATATCTTATCACGTCATAGCTATTGCTTGATGGTTAAATAGGTTGATAGGATTGATAGGCTTTCCAACACGCATCAGATGATTCTGGTCCTGAATTAGGTTAGTCACACTTTAATTATTTTCTTAACTTGTCTTTAGATATAATGAAAGCAAAAACAACAGGTTATACAAGAAAAACTGAATTCATTCTACTAAAAGTCTGCAGATAGCCTAAAAATTCAGGACCTAGTACAATTAAATATTAAAGGTTTGGCGCACTTTAGTTAGTTGATTTGAAATGGGTATTTGAAAAGTAGTTAAATATCAAAGTAAGTGGAACAGGATATAGGACGTCTTACTGAACATAGTCAGAATTGATGCTTATTTTCATGTGTGAAAAAAACATGCGGTTAAGAAGAACAGATAATCGGAGCTTTAAAAATAACTTCATTTTTGCTCTTAAAGTTTTGTTGGCTTTGCTTTGTTCATATTTATTAAGGGAACCGAGTGTTGTGAAATAAGTGATTTTAAAATGACAGGGTAACTCACATTTAATCGCATGAAAATAAGCATGCTCTCATGAAATTGGTTAATATTTTGTCTTTTACCTATAAGAACCTTATCACTAATCGTAAAATAGAGTGATCAAGTAATTTCAAATTACACTGATATATAACCTTTAAAAATCACTTAATTAATATGACGTTTTATGAAGACCAAAGAGTAATTTTTCGGCGAATTCCACATAAAACCTAGTTAATCCTCTCTGAAAGTGCAACTAGCTAGATATCTTGGTTTCCTGTGGTTTAAAATCATATTCCAACTACAACTGACCCCCGAAATAGTATTTCCCAAGCCCATTTTAGCAATGGAACTTTCAACTCAATTTCCTACAGTTCTATTTGACCTAATTTTATATAAATAATGTTTCCTTCTTTACTTCAAAAGAATAAGAGCAATCTGGAGAGTAACCAAAAGGCAGGCAATGAAATCATTCAGAGGACTCAAATTCAAACCTTACGATGAACGCCTTAAGTAACCAAATCCTTATCCTTTAGGCACAAACTATCCAAAACATCCTTTGATGCCCTGTATTTCAACACAAACCTTACGAGAATACTCGGAAGCTAGAGGTAAACCAGATTGTAAGCATACTTTTTACTCCTTACGAGTAGTCAGGTGCGGGAATTCTGTACAGGTCTTCACAGTCCAAACAAATTCCCAGGAGTCGTTCACTTGAAAACGTAGCATATCCTTAATGACTAAACATAATCTATGAGTAAATTTTATTTCTGTTTGTTTGATAACCCATGATTCTTACCTGGAGGCATCAGTGATCTGTTGCTACTAGACACGAAAGCTCGTTAGGTAGAGACTTCTGTGCATTTCACAACTGCCTGAACCATTAAGTTTCCTCTGAATAACTACAGTTAATGAATCACTAAGAAATAAGTAATACTGGGCAACTAGTTGGTGTATCCAAACTCCCTCATTAAGAGATAAATCGAACTATATATAAAACTTTAAAAGCTATCAAGCTAAAATACATGGATAAATTGTTTCCTTCGGTGAAATAAAAGTCTTGTAAAATCTCAATAAACAAATCGACAGTCATACTTTACAGACTCCATCAACTAATAATTAAAACAATATCTATTACAAAAATATTGTTATTTCTTTACAGTCATAATATTATTATATAATTCTTGAATAAATTGTATTATTTTAATGTAAATATCATTTTATAACCGTATAATTAATGATAAATAAATGCAGGTAATGAGCTTTTAAGAGAATGAATGACACCACAGAGTGAGAAGTATGAAATAATTTTTAAATTCAGGATGGATGGGAAAATGAATGTGTTTGGCTTACTTAAAGACTGTAACTGAAGATCATAATTAAATCAATGATCCCAACTAGGTAATCTACATTTCTAAATACTACTCAGTGCAAAAGCCCATAACCCCATGGGCAGATGTCATGTCTTGGTTTAGCTGTCTTCAGTCGTCCTCTACTTCATTAAAACTCTAACAACTATTACATTTCAGGCAGAAGGTGACTGGGGTCTGTTTTACGCATCTTCAGTCAATGAATTGCACAGCTAGATTAATCGATTTTAGGTTAGCATCAGTACTCCATGGATAAACTCTACTACGCTCGTTTGTTGTTACAATACCTCAGGCATGTATTGAAGATACAAAATAACTCTAACATCACCTGTTATTTAAATACATCGTCAAATCACTTCTTGTTTTTTGCGTTGTTTATCTACCGTTGTCTAGGAGATTTAGTCGTCTGGAATCGTACCAACGAAAATGATCATCTATTAGCCAGTATCGGAAGTATGCACAGTGGTCATAAAGATTGTATCAATCAAATCAGTTGGATACCAGATAGTCTAGAGTCTAACTTACAAAATCTAACTTCCGAAAAAGTCAGTCGGTATACAACAACTTATAGGTTATTAAGTTCAGGAAGTGATGGAAGAATTGTTTGTTGGAGAATTGATCTCTGTCACTTAGGAAATGTGAACTGTGTTAAGATGTAAGTGGTTAGTTTTGATTGAATATATCTTTATATTTCTTTGCATTTTTGACCAATTGTTATGATGTGTAATTTTTGCAAAGGATTTTTTAACAAAGATTAACATCAGTTGAAGAACCATTATAAGCCTGGTTTAAACTCCTGAAATAATGTTCACATGTGAATGTATACCATAACAAATCTGAGACCTACTGGTATCGCAGCTCGAAGACTACTGATTTGCAATCTTATGATATTCGTTTTTATATTCAGGAGTATTGTGATAAAACGTTATCGCTACCCAATGATATCATTAAGTCACACCACCTATTTACTTGACTTTGTAAGTCGCTGTGTTTTGATAGGAGGTTGATAAATCCGTTTCGAAGCTATTTGCGGGTATGTACATGGTTATCATTATTATAAAACTTAGCAAAAACCTCATATACCACCTAAGCAAGTAATTTCAATTACACTGTATCAAATCGATGGCACTTCAATATATTTTTTTCGGATAACATATCAATCTACAGATATCCTTTGTTTGTCTTTTTGATCACTAATTTATAGTTCATACGGAATATATGGTGTCTTTGATAACTAATATAAAATGTTTATGGAATCAACCAATTTAGAACTTTATTTATGATTATCTCAGTTCATGGGTTTTATTTTTTCATTGATGTCAAAATTTGTAAATTAAATGTATAATATAAACATAAAAATTTAATGTAAACTTAACGTCTAATAGTTTTGAAAAGAATGTATGGCGTGACTAAAATTTGTGGACGAACCAATCAGGTATAGGATAACAGGTCTCGGATTTTAGTGCGAAATCCACCTATCCATTAGGCTAAATAGAGTTTTGGCATTATAGCTGATGTCAGTTCGTTATGAAAACCATAAATCTAATTCTTAACCCTAACCATCAACTGTAAATCATAACTCTAATTCCTCATACTGGTTTATAACCCTCATTTGCTCCTAGTTATTAAGTGAACACTCTCAAGGTCACTTTAGCGTCGCTCAAATGTCGTCCATAAATTGTAGTCTCACCATATTTTCTTATCAACACTTGTAAGAAGTTGTCTTGATAAGTATAAATTTTGTGATCATTTAGTAATATAAAAAGTCATAATAATATGGTAGTTAATAATTCTTTACAATCACAAATTATTTTTTCCCTAGTTCTATAACTCAATAAGACATGAAATACTGAGGTAAGTGGTCGCTTCCACTGGTTATTTGATATTAACTTATCAATTCACTCGATTTAATAATAATATGAATATGTTTACAATTTAATTTCTTATTATAGTTTTCAAATAAGACATAAAGATCAGAGTCCTTTACCAATATCCAACCATTTTAATTCATTAAAGAAATGCAGTCTCTTTCGGTCAGATCTATCCGAAACAATAAATAGTGACAGAGCAGTTAATATAACTTGTATTTCATTAGCTAAAAATGATCCAGAAAAATTTGTTGTTGGAACAGAAACAGGAGGACTATTAATATGTCAAATAAATTCTGTTAACTGGAATGAAAAATATAGTGAGTATCATATTATTACACTTAACAACATTTACAGAATTCATTTACAATATACTTTTGAACTTGAAGAGTTTATTTATTTCGTACATGTCTGAAGATGTTATTTAATGTTCCGGTTAGAAAAAAAATATTTTTCACGGTGACTAACACTAAACTAGACAACGGAAAAAAACAGTCCAAAACTCCAATTATTTCCAAAGCTTCTTTATTAACTGTCTTTCATTAGGTACATGGAACGTTTTTGCTTACAACTACCAAGTATTTTACAGTGGTAACTTGAACCGATGTACCTGTATACCAGGTTCTACGTATTATGTGACTAACTGAATTTTGGTCGGATGTTTTGATGAGTTGTCATCAAAATTGTCTATGTTGAACGGTATGCATTAAGACTGTTTAGTTTCGTTATTTGAGTTAACTTTTTGATAGAGGTATATTTCTGGATATAGTAATTTGCTCTCACAACATTCTAAGTTTTGTGAACGACTTAAGCAAATATACAAGAATGTTTGAACTATATTTCTTTCCCTTTTAGGACTGGTCTAAATCAACGTCTCGTTGAAAATAACAGTGTTCCATAGTTAGTCACATGATCATGCTCTCACAAATACAACAATTTAATCATTTTATATGATATAATAAGCTAAAGAATAAAAATTTCAAATAATTAAAATATGCTCACGATATATATTAACTGAATTCAACTTTCATTTCAGAAGAATCCTTGAAAGAATACATACAGTCACCGGTTAAATTTTCACTAGCTCGTCAAGATGGTCCGATTTATTCAGTAGATTGGAGTAAATTCTATCCCAATCTTATTATAGCTTGTGGGTTCAATCATTGTATTCAGGTATGAATAAAAAAGATAACCAGTTGAAAAATATGGTTAATGTAGAAACTTTTAAATCACCAAAATGTAAATAATAATTCAACATACAATACCATGTTTTGCAAAATGGCATGGTAAAATTAGTGTTATTTGCAACTCGGGATATTCATGCTTGTTCGAGTTAATCTGATTATTAATTAAAGTTTTTGTTTAATTATTAGTATTTATGAGGGGGAAGCCTATCATTTCATTTTCAGAAAGTTTTAATTTCTGAGATTCAACATTACAACGATTTGCAGTGAATTTTTATACCTTAATATTGAACAACTCAGTTTGAAGCTAACTTTCTATTCTAAAAACATAGTTTCAAGTATACTGTTTATGCATAAACATTGATTGACATCAAAACCGGCAACATTGTATCCCTTTAGATTGTAAAACTTTTTTTTATCTTGTTTGAAAAATGAATAGAATTCAGTCGTCGAGTCTGTTTTATAATAATAAGTACTAAGAATTGGTTAACCACATATCTCATTTTTTTTATTTTATCCAATTAAAAAGTTCTGGTTTTTTTTACTATTCCTTAATTCCATTTCATTTGTTACAGATAAATAAAGCTAACAACCTAATTTGTATGAAACCTGCTTCCGAATTAAGCAGACGTTAATTTGTTTGTTAGATAGCTCCAGGTAGTCGAGGAAAAAAACGGGGACAAAATTTACATGCCAATAGCCACTTGTCATCAAGATATACCTGGAATTTTGAAGGAACTAATACTTTCTGTGATATTTGGATCTGAATCATTCAGCTTCACTTTCTGAGACCACTGAGTTATTCAGTCTTTGACTGACCTGTAGGAATGATGTATCTACAAGTGACCAGTCCCGTAGAAAAGACTGGATTCTATGGATTAGCAGTATATATATATATCAGAAGGGGTTTTTTGGAGATTTTATTACTTTCATTAGTTGAGATCATGAGTCAATTGAAGCTAGAGCAAATATTGAAATTACCACAATCTCCCCAAAGCCCCTCTTAATAATAATCGATATATGCTCACTAATGACTGACTTCAAGAGGTATATCCCGGAGTTCTAGTAAGAAGCTGTGACCAGTGGAGTTCAACCGGGTCTGTTGTGAGACAGTAACTCACTGATGACAGTGGTGGACGTGTCGCTCAATTTCGTGGATTAGTTGAAGTTAGATATTAACACCGCTGGATGCCGGCTCAGTGGTCTAGTGGTTAAGCGCTTGGGCGCGAGATTGATAAGTTCTGGGTTCGAATCCCGCGAGGTGGGATCGTGAATGCACATTGCTGAGGAGTCCCACGGTAGGACGAAGCGGCCGTCCAGTGCCTCCAGGTTTTCCATGGCGGTCTAGCATTAATTGACTCATGATCTCAACTATATATATTACTTTCGTTACCATAAATTGATCATTCAATCAAAAATTCGGTTATAACTGAGCTAAACTAGTTGATTTTGAAATAAATTAAGTTCCATTAAAACAGTTACTGTTTGACTGATATGTTTAAAATCAGAATACAAAATGAATTCCACTTATTCGATCCCTATGACCAAGCTTTACAGTTTTTAAGTAACATGTAACTAAAATTGTAAAGATAAAGCAATCATCCCATTATCTCAGTCAAAATATGACTTAAGAAATGATTCAAAGTATATACTCACGTAATAATATTAATGTCCCAGTTTTTAACTTTGTTTTATATACATTAAAAACAATATATCATTATGAAAAATGAAGTCTTTCCCTTTATAGTTTATTAAATAATTGAAATTTAATAAAGCAAGCATTATTATTAGGGGATTTTAAAATGTTGAATTTTTTCATTTTATATGTTGAATTTTAGCTTTTCAATGTACTACAAAAATCTCCATTAATAAGTTTAGAACCAAATTATGGTTCAATACTTGTTGTTGAATTTTCCTCATATTTATCAAATATTTTTATCTGTATAACCGAATATCATCATATACTTATTTATGATTTAACTGGTGATGAAGAAATTAATCTAATGTACAATTGTTTTAATGAAGAGAAACTGTATAGTCTTCAACCTGAACTACTGTATACATTGACATCTCAAATTGATAATGATATTCAAAGTACAATTGTATCTGCGAAACTTAATGAAAAAGAGTAAGTCACATTTTCAATGTTTTTTTAAACAAACATTTATTTCATCTTTATTTTAGTTCTAAACTTGTTGCTACTGGAAATACAAGTGGGATTGTTTATGTATGGGATTTTGGTAATCTAATCAATGAATTATCATTAAAAGTAATAAATATATGATAATTATACATATTTCCTAGTTCTATAATGAAGTGATTTATTCACTTATTCAGTGTTTTAATTTACAGCTTGTGAACTGGATTACTTCATCCCTTTATTCATTGTATACTTTTAGAAATGGAGTGTACGTTCTATCATGTATTTTTTAACTGATTAATTAATGTAGCTCATTTTAAAAGTACATGTTAAGGCACTAGTATCTCAGATATACCTTTTACATGACACTCGTTAATACTTTTAGGCTGTCAGACCCGAAGTTGATGGAGCGGCGTTCACTAAGCAACTCACTTTTCACATTCGTTAGATTAACAATGCTAGTAGAGAAATTGAGATTCATGCTGGACAGTAAACTAGAAATAGGTTCATCACATGCCCCGATCCTATTTTCATTTTCAGAGGAACTACTATTGTAGTGAACGAGAACACAAGTGGGGACAATCGCATGTATTTGTATACAAAATTACTGAATACCGTAGTAAAATCTGAAAAACACATAATAAATACTTCATTTGTATAATCTCAATAAGTCGTCTCAAACTTGATTGTTCCTTCGTTTCTACACCAACCATTCTCTGTTCTCATTCTCTTTTCTTCGATCTTCTTAACCTTCTGCCACCAGGCATTTCACTTTCGATTGACGACACATACTAATTATATCTGTCGATATCAGTAGCACACAATCATTAAGGCACAGTTGGTTCATGTTAATTACTTTTATTGTAAAACGGATAGGCCCAACTTTGTCTGAAACAGTTAAGAATTTAGACTTTATTACATGTCACAAATCAACACTGTTTGTTAATTTATCTTCAAATAGTATGTTTATATTTTCAATAATTAGATAATGTGATTAATTTTTCAGTGGTAAACCGAGTTATTGTTGTGTTTCTTCATTTGATTATCATATTAACGTATCAGTCAGAATGTTACGTAGAAAGCAATTCTAACCAGCCGTCTATTCGATTACTTTCATAAAACTGTGGTTTGGACTGCATATTCACACCCACCAACCCCAGTTGATGAAACATTTTTCACAACTCCCTACGTCTTTCTTAATCCTTCTATGCAAAAATATTTGTAGTTTCAGAAACAACATCATTGTCTATACGAATGTTCGTCAAGATTAGAACGAATAGTTTGACAGTAATTGAGTGCCGAGTATAGAGAAGTCATTATATGTGAAAATTATATTTGAAACATTCTCAGAGATTGAAATTTAACTAATTCCAACGGTTCGTCCAGCTAACTTGTCTGGACTTCTTCAGGGTGATAATCAAAATCAAAATTATCAAAGACATATATAGCTTTTTAACAATCAGGATTATACTGTGTTAAACCAACCATATTTGGATGTTGATTTTTTTGTAAAATAGGATAAAATGAGTCAGTTAACTAGAAATTATGTGAAGAAATCAACTACATGGAAATACTTAACTGAGTAACAAATCGTATGTGTGTGAGTGTGTAGGTATGTATGTATGTGTGAGAGATTGATATGAAGGAATAAATAAGGTTCAAGTTCAAGGATGAAAAATTGATAATGAAACATCGATGTACATGTCAAAACATAAATTGTATTGTTTAAAAACTCATTGAATTCTTTCAAAAATAATAACGATGCATGTGATATAAAAAACAGGTTTAAACAAGAGATAGGTTCCAAATTTACTTGTCAAACGAAATTTGCCAGGTAGTTGCCAGTTGAATATCATCTTTTCGGTTCAGGCTGGTCTTGTTCGCCCATATATGCAGCGCTTCTGCTGTCAATCTTTCTTTATGGGTGTTAAAACCTTTCTGAAGTATTTTGTTCCCTTCAAAATTAATCTTGTGTCCTGTTTCTAACGCATGTAATTCTATCGCTGACTTATTTTCAAGTTCCTTTAAATCGACCGAGGATTTTGGAACATTTTTCAAGCATTGTTTGTGTTCCTTCAATCTTACATTCAATTGCCTGGATGTTTCTCCAACATAGGTAGCATTACAGTCATGACAGTTAATCTCGTACATAATATTCTGTTGTTCTTCCTTTGCTAACTTGTCCTTAACTTTCACTAATGTCGATCTTAATGTGTTATTCGCTCTCAAATATACTCTTATATCATGTTTGTTTAGAATCCGTTTGATTTCTCCTGATGTTTCACTATGGTAAGGTATGACTACGGTGTACTTCCATTCTTCTCGTATGCTGTCTAGTTTAGTTTTTCTTTCATTTTTAATAATCTTCTTTAAAAACCTTTTTGGGTAGTTGTTATCCCTAAGAGTAGAAAATACTTTATTTAATTCGGTTTGTTGGTCTTCTCTGTCTGTAACAATCTTAGTACTTCTGTTCATTAGATTTTTTACTACATTAATTTTCGTGCTCTGTGAATGGGCTGAATTAAAATCCAAGTATCTCTCGGAATGCGTTGATTTTCTGTAAACATTTATTTTAAACTTCTTATTATTGTCTCGACGTTCAACCAGACAATCTAGAAATGCTAGTTTGTGGTCAACTGATTCTAATTCCTTAGTTAGTTTAATGTTTTCAGAAATGCTGTTTGCATTGTTAAATAGTTCTTCCATACCATCTCGTTTATTGATAATAAAAATATCGTCTACATACCTTAACCATAACTTTGGTGGACATAAACTCTTTGCGATTGCACTAGTTTCTAGGGAATGCATGGACAAATTCGCTACAATCGGAGAAACTGGTGAGCCCATTGCTATACCCTCTTTCTGTCTGTAAAGTTGACCTCGAAATATGAATAAGGTAGATCTTAAACATAATTCTAAGCATTTTATAACCTCTGATGGATCTAATGGGCATCGTAAATTCAAATCTAAATCAGATTCTAAACAATCATTGATAATATCAATTGCTCGACTGATAGGTACATTAGTGAATAAGGAAGATACATCAAAACTTGCCATTATTTCGTCTTCTTCTATATCGATGGTATCAATTAAATTCTTGAATTCCATAGAGTTGTCTGCTATTAACTGTTTGTGAATAATATCTGAACCACAACAATTTAAAGTCTTTCTTAAGAGCGAACAAATGAGGATTCGATAAACTACATTTACTCATATTTTAAACATTGATATTACACTTGTAGTTACCATCTGTGTCTACGATTTCTATTAAACAGTAAGCTACTTCCTTCTAGTCTCGTACTGAGAATGAATGGCTTTTTAGTTGACTGTCTGCAGCAACCAATATCTGTATTTCATCTGTGAGCTCGGCGTTATGTACTATAAATATCTGAACACTACCTATTACATGAAATTGAGGATGATAAAGACACTTGTAAGTATTGATTATTTAGACACACAGCGGTACATAATACAAACATTCTGTGTGATTTTGACTTTTCCATAAGTTTCGTGCACATAGTTGGATACGACAAGTATTGCAGCTCCAGATACGTAAATTATTAGTACTCTTTCTTTTTTCTAAAATTGAACACTAGACGTCTTTTTGTAAAACTTAAGGTGATCCGCTCAGCAGAAATATATCAAAGTGAGCAATCGATCCCAGTCTTAAATACTAAGTAACCTCATACTTGTTTAATAAGTTAGCCACTTTGGAGAATCAGTAACAACAGACAATCATCAACAATAATGAAAGCCTAAGATTAGGAGTAAAAGGAGATAGTTTGATCCATTACACCTCATTTGAATGAGTTGAACATCAAAACTTGAAGTAGACAGTTAGCGCAACGAAACAAATTGGCAATGGAACGAAAATAATAATTAATGAAGTTGTTAGGTTTCTAGGGACTGTATTTGTAAATAGAGATTTGTGGTGTTTGAATGGACTAATGATAACTTTGTACTGGTTGAATGTTTGATTTCGAATTCTAAATACAATACATTCGTTTGTGCCTGTGTCTTCTTAATTCAATTGCGTTAATCCTGGAATTCCTAATTCATACGATAATTAGAATACTATATTGGCGTCGTGATGGAACCTGCAATGGAAAAGTTGGATATTCATTCAACTCCTGAAGCTATTGAGGATTATTTGGAAAGGTTCGAAATTTGGAGCATGACCAAAGAAGTTGATGAGGATGTTAATATTGTGGCACACTTCCTCACATTCATTGGGAGAGAAGCGTACAGCTTATTAAAATCTTTGGCATATCCAGAAAAACCGATCTCACTCCCTTATGCAATTCTTAAAGAGCTATTGTTAAGTCATGTAAAATGCACCAGTTTTGAATGCCATGAAAGGGCGAAGTTTCATAAGATGGTTCGTCAAAATGACCAAAAGGTTCGGGAATTCATCCTTGAATTACAGAAACAAGCTACCAAGTGTAATTTCGGTGATCAACTTCATGTGCAACTGAGAGATCGATTAATTGCAGGAATCAACATACCGAGTTTGGAAAGAGATCTGTTAAGAATGCCAAACTGTTCCTTTCAAGATGCTAGGACTGCGTGTATTAACTACGAATCAGTGAATGAACTTGATATCCAGTCGATGAAGATTTCTGATACTTTGCTTAGTCGTCATGATGAACTACAATCTCAGGGTCAATCAAATTTGCGTTCATTTAACAGTGATTCCTATTCTCGTGTAAATATGAAAGGTGTTTCAACGACGAATTACAAAGCAAATCACAAAGGTGAGATGAAGCTTGGTAAATGTTTATCATGTGGAAAGTTTCATGCTCACAATCCATGTGTATTTCGTAATGCTGAATGTTTTAAATATGGTAAGGTAGGACACATTCAGTCAGTATGCAAAGCTATTGTCCATTTTGCTTCAAGCTGTACTAAATCTTGTAATTTAAATTTAAATAATTGGATGTTTCTAATGATCATTTATCTTTATCAACGATTTCAAAAGACAGTGCAGAGTCATATGACAGTTCAGAGTTAGATGAAATCCAGAATTCTTGTGAGAAAACAGTTCCTTATCAACCTATTTATCAGAATTCTCATGCTATTGTACCAGGTATGACTTTTCCTAATGATTCACATATTTCTAATGAAATTACTTGCAATATTGAGGAAAATATGTTAAATGAACCTAATCATGATCGGAAACCTGATGTGGTTTGGATAGATGCTGGTTTTTCTAACGATCCTACGCTCTGCAATGACAGTCCTAATGAATTTCATGAGAATATTTCAGAAGAATCAAATCCTGATGTCATATCATATATTACCTATCCTCATAATGTATTTGATCCTTGTGAAAAACCTGCTCAATTTGAAGCACGAGTACAAAGTGACCTCGAGTTTGATTACATTTCGGATGATTTCATATCAACTGCTGTTTACCCTTATCACAAAAACAGTTCTAATGTTTACTCTAAACAATGTGAGAAATATGTTTTAAATGAAGCCACATTATTCATAACTTGGGGATATAAAGATCCAACATTATTTCGTGGGGGAGGATAGTGTTGAAAAATCTATGGTTTGAATTCCAGATATTAATGATTTCAGTACAAAACCGACATGCTGGTTGTATACAATTCCAGGTGAGTCTGTTCCGATTTCGTTTGTTAATTCCAATACTAATGAGCACTTTCTAGATACTACAAAGTTTTTATCTTACACAATGTCGGACAGACTCAGAATGAACTTAACAAGAAGACGTACAACCGATTACAAACACTTATACTTCTATTTAAGCTGTGGCGGATGTGGTGTTTGAATGGACTAATGATAACTTTGTACTGGTTGAATGTTTGATTTCGAATTCTAAATACAATACATTCGTTTGTGCCTGTGTCTTCTTAATTCAATTGCGTTAATCCTGGAATTCCTAATTCATACGATAATTAGAATACTATAAGATTGCAGAATGTAAGAGATTATTTCGATCTAAATCCATTGCCGTCAACTAAATATTCAAGACCTTTGAATCAAATATACAAAATGAACACTATTTTGCATTTACAGTTTAGTGGTAAGTGAAGAACAGTTTTTAAAGTCTTCGATACTGATATGGAACTTTTGGGGGATAGTGTAACGTCATGTGCTATGTTAAACCCATATAGCTTATTCTAGCCTCCGGACAAGCCAATCTATTCATTCTTTTTAAATCACATCTTGACCTTATCAATTATTTGCTCATTTATTCTGGCTGTTTCTAGCAGAGCGTGTGTGTGTGAACATCTTATTCTACTAGTCACATGTCTGTAGCTTATTTCTATCTGGATATAAATACTGATTAATGCTTGGTTAAATCGAGTTAGTACACATGCCTTCTCCAACCTGCTTCTCTGTTCCTTCTTTATTTCGTCTCCCTGATTGCATGTTCAAATCACTGAGTGCAAAAAATATATATTCAAACTCTATACAGTTCTTCAGAAGTGGCCACATAATTCACAAGTCTATCATGTTATCGATTTTACTTTCGGCCAACATACCTTTTCGGAGCCAGTCGGCGCACTTTCGAAAATGCTGGTGGTCCATTATTTGCAATGTGGTGTGCAATGTTGCCGATTAAACACGGCAATTTCGGTCGCGTTTGGTGCGTTTTGAGGTAATTATCTAGTATGAGTTGATAGAATGGGTCGATTATGTGCCTTACTGTGATTGAGGATAATCTACACGAACGGACAATTGAGTATTGCCATCCACCCTGTTTGCACATGTTGATGAGTAGATTATGATGTTTTAGCAGGTCTATATCAGTGACTGGCATAGAAACAAGTTTGCGTGAACCTACGTTAAAATAAACATATCGCTTACTATATGTGGTAACCGGTTATCCATTTGCCGCCTGTAAGTTGAAGACGAGTTCAAACAGACATTCATTAGAATTTGCATGAAGAACGCTTACTTATGAGCCAGTGTCGAAGAGATTGTAAACTTTCATCAACACACCAGTAAGTTGCAACGGACGGCTATGTTTGCCAGCTACGGTTGCCGTTAACGCAGCTCGGTGGGGACGTATTCCGTAATGTTTTCCATGCAAGACAGTTTAGAGTTTGAGAAACTGAAGTGATTTCTGAAATTTCTGGATCACTCACCATATGTATTGTGGTGTCTGCAACAATCAGGATTATCTCACGGTCCAGTGACAGTTCCTTTCTGTGGCAAGCTCCTTCGATGAGTTTGGAAGCATCTATGGTCATGGTATATATTAAGATAACGAGTGACAGTAAAATGGAGGTCTGCAACGTCATTCTGTGTTGTTTGGTGTCTTTTGTTGGCAGAATAAACCTCAAAGTCTAGGGTTCTGGTAATCTCCAGAATCCGTTCTGAAGATGCCGTCATTTCGTCTACAGAGTTATTTTGAGATAAGACAAGAACTGCTTGCATCAGTTGGAAAATCTTTGTCAAGAATAGCTGTTCGTTGACCAATAACCTCTTTCATTCGTAGCAACGTTCCTGTTGCTGAGCCATGTTACAACATGATGTTGTAGAAAAGTTGACACAACCTTTTTCGGTCAGTTAAAATAAGACGCACAAATAGGCGGGAAATATCCTAAAACATCAAAACAATATCACACTGTGTAAAAACAAAAATGAAAAATGAGGATATATCGTTATGTTTAGAAGCATTTGATCCAAGCTGGCCAGCAGTTACAAGGGATGCGTAGCATCACGTACACACTCGTGATGTAACTTTGACGCGTGACCGAGCGCCTCAGTTAAGTGTGTCCATTGAAATTAATGAGGTCAGCATCAGTGTCGAAGACTCACAGAACTATTATTTTGGACGTCCATTTATCGCTATAAGAATCATTAATAAGTAACACTTCGGAGGATATTCAATCCGAACAAGACACGAAAGTGAACATACATTGTCTTTTACAAACAGTATTGAGGCTTTAGCAAGTATGTTTTGGAGTTTCATACCGGGAGATTAAGTTACAGCACCCATGATAAATCTTACGACATAACGTTCGAAAAGACCTGTGGTGTCATGTAAACAAGAGGATTTCATCTCGTGTTGCTTCTTGTTCACTTCCATCGTCCTCTAACTTGTTTTGTTCCCCATTTTTTATAGGGACTATGGCAACAATCATATCCTCTCATAACCAACCTTCACACACTTATCAATCGGACACAGATTCCTGGGAACGAACAGGTCAGTGATTCCGCCAAAAAACCTGATTGTCGGCTCCTTGAGAAGGTTGTGATGACACGTTCTAGTGATTTCGCCAACAAAGGGTCGATAACTACTACAGGTTCAACGACAGGGCGAGATATTACTTTGAAGATTTTTACTTAGTTATTAGCATTACTATTTTATTACTTCATATTATTTAGAAGTCAGAGTATTGATTTATCTATTACAAACTTGAGAAATATCTCTGACAGTATACGGCATACGTTTCGCTATTTATGTTCAATAGAGTTCGTATAGTCGTTTGAATATAAGCGGGCACTTACATTTCTCATTTTTTCGTATGATACCCAAGCAAGTACAAGTGTTGTCGCTTTTTCGCACAGGTTAGATACACCCATCATACGGTACACCTTTAGAACCATTTTGTTAAGCAGTGATTGTTCCATAGCACGCTTTTCATAACGTTGCCGGCTGTGTTACAGTCGTTATAATGTTTATGAACTGCTCAGTTTAGTCACTCAGTTCTCGTCTTATATCTGGAAACACGCCTAACATCATATAGATTACAGTAATGCTTTAGATAACTATCTTGCTAGCAGTTACTTTAGAAGGAACTCTATCGTGATTTTAATCAGTCATCCTGGCCTACAAAGACAGTACTTCAGAATGCAGTGCGAGAGAGCTCACACAAAGATCTGCAGGAACCTCCTTGCCGTTAGAGTATATAAGTCAAAAATCATGTTAATGAAGCTATTGTTACTAGGCCTCTGTGAGTTTTCGGAAACAACATTTACTTCAGTCATGTCGGTGCTGGTAAAAACTAAATAAGATGTTCCCATTCAATTACTCACCTCGTTACCAATTCATATGATTTCCTTTTATGTCTGAAAGAAATAAGGCAAGAGTCACACTGCGTAATCAGGAACATTATCGGACTATCAAGACCTTAGGGTAGTGACTATGCGCTACTTCAACTTGATGGTGTTGAGAGGCATGCGGTATCACAATATTCTATTGTGATGGCATAACGATGACTGCCGACATTGTGCTCTAGAACAAACATCCCAGCTCATGACCTAGTGCAATACATAAATTTATTACTTCCACACAGAGGTGTGTGATAGTTATAATTCACTCAGTGCGATCAGTCTCCTATTCTCTAAACCATGAATTGACAAAGAGTTATCACGGTCATTGATTTGGTGCGCCAGAGGCGTAAAACACAGACACATTTTCATAAATATGAAGTTTGCGTGCTCTAATGGTAGTATCCCTCTCGCCGGGGAAATACAACTAATACCTTGACGTAGTGATGGAGCATGGCCAAAAATACCTCTTTCTTTAGTTCTTGCTTTAAACGCTAAGTCAATTGGGAAACAGTGAAGCAGAAAGCAAAGGCATCATGGTCCGAGGGCGACCGTTCATTCAGGGATAGATGGCATTAGGGTTTTTCCCTTGGAAAACTCGCATCTCCACGGTTGCTGGCTTCCCACAACGGGAGGAAGAGGAGATCGGAAAAGGTTAATCACATGGATTCTTGTAGGCAGTAAGGTTTGAAAATTACTGACCCAACACACCAAAATCTACATAATAAAAATCCATATGTGGCCGGCTGTAAGCCGATATTCCTTGGACTTTGTGTTCGCGTTGGAAAGTCATGAAGACTATCTCTAACTCATTTTCACCTTTAGATTTCTTAAGTATTCTTTAGCATTGTGGGCTACGAGGAAGAGATAATTCCCCTCGCATTTCTAACATTTTTGGACATCAATCATCTTCACTCCATCACTTGCCGCTTATTAGGGCTTTTATTCCGTTTTCAACCTTACTGATTTATTGTGAAACTGTTGCCTTTCTTTTGGCCTTGTGTTACACTACATCATATATCTTGCTGAAACCCGTGAGTTTTGCGTCTACAGACGTCTATCTACATACCTACCTTAGAAGATGCATTAACCCTGATGGTCTGATGACTTGCTTGTTCAATTTTCGCTAATTCACTCTACTTGTGACTCCAAATATGCATAACTTCTCTTTAAAAAGTACATGTACCACTTAGCATTCTGGGCTGTAGTTTTTCGTGAGTTCAAAATTAGAGAACATACGTAGGTTATGCTTTCTTGATCATAGGGATCTGTAGAACTGCCTATGGTAAAACCACAAATTGGAAATGGTTTCCTATCTTCATATCCAGTTACCATAAACATAAGTCTAAACATGATTGCTGTGACATTAGCTATTTTGTTTTGTCATTCAAACTGGGTACATTGGACAGAGTCTATCTATCTAACATTGGTAATCAGGAATTTTTATCCTTCAATAATATATATTGGATCAGATTTGTTCACTTTATCTGTCTCATATGGTTAGGTATAGCACCATCCTATACCTTTCATTCCTTAATTTTTTAAGTATTATTTTGTTTCGGTACCAATACTTTTATTGTTTTATTTTCCACCGATTTTATTTTGCTCTTTGGTAAATAGTGGCATTTGTTCTGTTTTGTTCTTACCACTCATCAACAGCATTGAAGCTTAATATAATTGGAACTAAATTCCTTCATATTCCTCTTGATGTCCCCTTTTTCACTTGCTATGTTCATAACCTCAAAATCATTTATCGGTTGTTTAAACATAAGGAACGTTCCCGTTCTTAGAAATCTTTCACATATAGTCGCCTTCGAGGCTTACACTATGGCGACCTTCTTTACGGGTAATAAATAGCCACGGATGCATTTCGAGTTCCTGAAATGCATACGCTTAGTTTAATAATAACCATCATTTTATCTTCTTACTGTGTGAGAATCACAACATTACCTTTTCTGCTAGTTTTTATAACTCTGATACTAACTTAACTCCTTTCGTATTTGCACTGAGGTATATATATTTCAGGATTCTTGAACCCTGTCCTACCTACTTCGGTTTGTGTAACTGAGTACCATTGCCGACCCTCATAGCAAGTGTGGCTCTAAGCTTATTACGCAAACATATGCATGTTTTTATACTAGATGTAGAACATGTTGACCCCCCCAATGCCCTGGTACGGCTGAGGGTGGGAAGAGTTAGTTCTCCCTCTCGAAATGCTTTCACTTGGCCACGCGTATACATCCACTGCCAGGAAAGTCCTACTCACTGCCTTCTCGTGACGGGGGGTTGTTTACAAAATTGAGAAGACGAAATACGGATGTCTAGTGCTGTAACCGAGTCGGTGGATATGGAGGATCCGCCTAGGGGAATTGGATGACCCTGATTTCAAACCAATGGTGCACATGGGCTCCAGTATCCCAAAGGAACAAATGGCGTATGGACTAACTATTGGTCATCGGCTAACACGGGACTGCATCTCCTGACGTTGCTCCACTACCTTGTGGATCAGATCTTTAGGTTGAAAGCTCTGGGCGTGGCCTCCTAAGGAAACCACCTACTTCGGTCTGGGCACCCGGTCAGTATCACAGCCCACACAAATCAATTGACTTGTGTGGCACATATGTGTTCGATGCGCCTTTGTACCAATATTTATGTGTTCAAACAAATAATAAATCACAGACCATGAATACGTTTACGGTTGTTCGAATTCGTCACAACCGTATTCATTTAGTTACTGGCCTGTGTTCAACAGTGGCTGGTAAATACATCACTTTACTAAGATTTTTGCTTCTAAACTTATTATTATTTGTTTTCATAAGGTAGTAAATATTCCCTTAGACTCGATTGCTAGTCTGTTTTAGTTGATAAATCTTCCTTTTAATTCTCTTGTTGAGTTTTCGTTCTGCTAGTGTAAGATTATGACAATTTAAATCGGCACACATTCGTGCTAGTTCTTACATTGTATGACAATGGATCCTAAGGCCAATCAAATGTGTAGGTTGATATTGATTATTTGTTACTTATCTATTCGCGACCCATAAAGTACCACTCAATCGGGTGTACTACTTTTATCCGAACTTCGATAGAGATAAGATGGTGGTTGGAAGTAGTCGACAGAAAATAGTGGACTCAGGTTTCGTGCTACTTGGCACTAGTCAGCAAGGTGTACCTGTAATCTTAAGGGAAATGGTGCTCCCGAACGGATTCGAACTGCTGCGCAGTAAACACGTCCTTTGGTTGATAGACGGATATCTCGCCTACGCCATAAATGACGCAAGTTGGCAAAAGCTAGTCGAGCCTTCTGTATCCGTGCTGAGATTTCGTCACAAACCAGACCACAAAGGCTGATGAGACTTCCGAGATAAGTGAAGCGGTCGACACACTCAACTACTTCACTCCCTATCACTAGTTCGGGTGTGGATGTAACCCAATCCTGAAGCAACATTTTGCATTTCGAGGGAGAGAATCGCATCCCGAACATGCTTGCATTGTTGCTTAGAGTAGTCAGAAGACTGCATTTTGTCAGCGTCTTCACCAAATAAAACTGTGACAGATTTCATAGGAATTATTTCGATAAGTAAAACCATCACTTTATGAGTGTTTTCTATAACAGCCTGATATAATTGGCTTCTTTGTCCAAGAAAACGGGCTACAAAGCTTAGGGTTCTATCTCTAAATCTGAATGCGAACTAACTCGTCTTATTTATTAGTATGGGATTGAGAAGAGTGATAGTTTTTTGACTGAAATCATGAATCGATTTATGTCACACCACTGAAAACCTGTAAGTACTGAACGGCCGTTTCGTCCTAGTATGGGACTCCTCAGCAGTGCGCATCCACGATCCTGCTCGCGAGACCTATAGACCAGTGAACCGGCATCCAGCAGTGTTAATGTCTAACTTCAATCAATCTACGAAATTACGCAACCATCTTCCATTGTCTGAGATAGATACCTGCCTCTACCTGACGTGTTAACTTAACAATTTCCACAACTCCATACGGACAACCAACAGGTGCGCACTAGAGACTATCTTCGTGAGGGGATTCTCGGAGTTTTCTGGGATGTGTCGTGGGGCTGTCAGGTAGAGACAGGTATCTACGTCAGACAATGGAAGATGGTTGCGCAATTTCGTGGATTGATTGAAGTTAGACATTAACACTGCTGGATGCCCGTTCACTGGTCTATAGGTCTCGCGAGCAGGATCGTGGATGCGCACTGCTGAGGAGTCCCATACTAGGACGAAACGGCCGTTCAGTACTTACAGGTTTTCAGTGGTGTGACATAAATCGATTCATGATTTCAGTCAAAAAACTATTACTCTTCTCAATCCCATACTAATAAATAAGACGAGTTAGTTCGCATTCACATAGAACCCTCAGTTAGTCAGTCAATAACAACGTAAAACTTCGTACGTACGTACATCAGTTCGAGTTGCCACACCACATAAGCACAGAGATGTAGTTGTCGATTCAAATCCCTTAGTGGTAGAGGTAGCAAGAGTATAAGCAGTAATCGGGAAGATTAGTGTTTGAAGATGATACTTAAAGAGTATAATACAGTGAAGTAAATTTGAGAGGAGAAAAAAAAGAAACAAGGAGGAATAAGGAGATTAAAATTTGGGAGAACACAAAGAGTGGATGCACCTGCGCCATTGAAAACGATTTTGAGCCATAACATTCAGGGTCTCTAACCATCGGTTGCTATCATCTCGTGGTCCCCAACCAGGTAGTCTACACCTACCAACATGACTCAGTCCACTTGTCAGTGACTTCATGGACTTGTGCCATGTTTTGGTTTGGTCGCCCCTAGCTTTCTTCCAACCTACTCCTATACCACTGAACATAGCACGTTAAGGTAGTCGGTCGTTGGACATACGTAACACGTGTCCCAACCACCTCAACTGATGAAGTTTCACTACTTCATCAATTGATTTTCCATCCTTACCTAGTACCCGTGTCCTAACAACTGTGTTACTTACTCGATGGTCCCATGATATACGAGCAATGTTTCGAAGACACCTATGATCGAATACTAGTAACCTACGAATATCCTCTACTCTTACCGGCCATGTTTCACTGCCATAAAGAAGGACGGGACGAACTGCTGCGCAGTAAACACGTCCTTTGGTTGATAGACGGATATCTCGCCTACGCCATAAATGACGCAAGTTGGCAAAAGCTAGTCGAGCCTTCTGTATCCGTGCTGAGACTTCGTCACAAACCAGACCACAAAGGCTGATGAGACTTCCGAGATAAGTGAAGCGGTCGACACACTCAACTACTTCACTCCCTATCACTAGTTCGGGTGTGGATGTAACCCAATCCTGAAGCAACATTTTGCATTTCGAGGGAGAGAATCGCATCCCGAACATGCTTGCATTGTTGCTTAGAGTGGTCAGAAGACTGCATTTTGTCAGCGTCTTCACCAAATAAAACTGTGACAGATTTCATAGGAATTATTTCGATAAGTAAAACCATCACTTTATGAGTAATTTCTATAACAGCCTGATATAATTGGCTTCTTTGTCCAAGAAAACGGGCTACAAAGCTTAGGGCATAAGGAAAAACATCTTTTAACATGGCGACCCCCTAATTCGTCCCAACGTTGGACCCAAATAGATCACATCGCTATCAGCCACCGATGGAGGGGCTCGATAGAAGACTGTCGCTCATTCTGGAGCACATGCCTAGATTCAGATCATGCTCTAGTGCGAGCGCGTATTTGCTTGCGTCTTACTGGACGTAGGAAAGACGCTGCAAGGAAACCTCTTAGGGCCCTACTTAATGATAGTCAAGCTAAGAGTATATTTCAGGAACAACTAGGAAAACAGTTAGGCAGCCATGTATGTGATGCCCACCCTGAGGCAGCATGGAATGATATCCGAAAAGCTGTGGAAACAGCAGTGATATCTGCTAGTAAGGTAAACCAGAAGGTTAGGGAGCAACACTGGATCTCAGCAGCATCTATCGCACTGATAGATGCTCGGAAACTCATTCCACCTGGCTCTGAACATAATGAAGAGCGGAGTCAGCTTAAGCGCAAGCTGACAAAAAGTCTACGCAATGATCGCGAACAGTGGTGGGTAGCGAAAGCAAGAGAGATGGAAAAGGCAGTGGCAATAGGTAATAGCAGACAATTGTTCAGACTCGTTAAGGAAACCGGAATTAGGAACCCGACCGTTAGCAAAACAATCTCAGAGAAAGATGGACATATTATTCATTCTCAATCCAGGAGATTGGATCGATGGGCAGAACACTTTAGGGGTCAGTTCAACTGGCCTTCAGCCACACTTCGGTTTCCAACGATCTCTAGTCAACCTGAATGGCAAATTAATGTAGGTCCTCCGTCCCTTTACGAAGTTGAAAAAGCCATAGGAAATCTGAAACGAGGGAGAGCAGCAGGCCCTGACAGGTTTACTCCTGAGATTTTTAAGGATGGTGGTCCAGTATTAGCAATGAGATTAACCGAGGTCTTAGGTAGAATTTGGGAACTGGACGTAATCCCATCTGACTGGTCTCAATCACTGATTGTGCCAGTCTATAAGAAAGGACATAAGTCCTCCTGTGACAATCACAGAGGAATCAGTTTGACTAATATGGTGTCTAAAATACTAGCCTCAATAATACTTCGACGCATAATCAAAGCTCGTGAAGAGCAGATTAGAGAAAACCAGGCCGGTTTTCGACCTGGACGTGGTTGTATAGATCAGATATTCACACTACTTCAGGTTCTAGAACACAGACACACATTCAGACGCCCCACAATCGTAGTATTTCTCGACCTTAAGGCGGCATACAACTCTGTTGATCGTGAAGTTCTATGGCAGTGTTTGTCACTGAAAGAAGTACCAAAGAAGTACATTAACCTTATAAAGGCTCTCTACTCGAACACAACTGATAGAGTGAGAGCTTATGGCGAACTGTCATCAGAATTGATTACCTCAAATGGTGTTCGTCAGGGCTGTCCACTCTCCCCATTCTTGTTCAACTTTGTGGTCGACGTACTTTTAGAGATAACACTCTCCTCATCTAAATTTCCAGGGGTTGAACTTCTACCGGGAGGTTCACTTGATGACTTAGAATATGCAGATGACATAGTTCTATTTGGTGAAGACGCTGACAAAATGCAGTCTTCTGACCACTCTAAGCAACAATGCAAGCATGTTCGGGATGCGATTCTCTCCCTCGAAATGCAAAATGTTGCTTCAGGATTGGGTTACATCCACACCCGAACTAGTGATAGGGAGTGAAGTAGTTGAGTGTGTCGACCGCTTCACTTATCTCGGAAGTCTCATCAGCCTTTGTGGTCTGGTTTGTGACGAAATCTCAGCACGGATACAGAAGGCTCGACTAGCTTTTGCCAACTTGCGTCATTTATGGCGTAGGCGAGATATCCGTCTATCAACCAAAGGACGTGTTTACTGCGCAGCAGTTCGTCCCGTCCTTCTTTATGGCAGTGAAACATGGCCGGTAAGAGTAGAGGATATTCGTAGGTTACTAGTATTCGATCATAGGTGTCTTCGAAACATTGCTCGTATATCATGGGACCATCGAGTAAGTAACACAGTTGTTAGGACACGGGTACTAGGTAAGGATGGAAAATCAATTGATGAAGTAGTGAAACTTCATCAGTTGAGGTGGTTGGGACACGTGTTACGTATGTCCAACGACCGACTACCTTAACGTGCTATGTTCAGTGGTATAGGAGTAGGTTGGAAGAAAGCTAGGGGCGACCAAACCAAAACATGGCACAAGTCCATGAAGTCACTGACAAGTGGACTGAATCATGTTGGTAGGTGTAGACTACCTGGTTGGGGACCACGAGATGATAGCAACCGATGGTTAGAGACCCTGAATGTCATGGCTCAAAATCGTTTTCAATGGCGCAGGTGCATCCACTCTTTGTGTTCTCCCAAATTTTAATCTCCTTATTCCTCCTTGTTTCTTTTTTTTCTCCTCTCAAATTTACTTCACTGTATTATACTCTTTAAGTATCATCTTCAAACACTAATCTTCCCGATTACTGCTTATACTCTTGCTACCTCTACCACTAAGGGATTTGAATCGACAACTACATCTCTGTGCTTATGTGGTGTGGCAACTCGAACTGATGTACGTACGTACGAAGTTTTACGTTGTTACTGACTGACTGACTGTCACAGTTGGACATCAGAAGTAATATGTGCCATACAGCTAGAGAAATTATATTGTGAAGAAACAAATAAGGGAGGCAGTGCAACCAAGAACGGGTAAACGGGAAAATTATATGGTAGAGGTTGCAGTCCGGTTAAATGTACGATCATCAGAGAAGTTCATATCACTGGCGACGTTTGTTTGACCAGCTGAGTGACAATTATTTCAACTGTGTTTGGCTGTATCCACAAGCTTTTTCGGTGTTGATAAATTTCACTTTAAAATAATTTCCTCTGTACTACCAATGTATTGTAAATTAATTTACTTTTCAGGTCCTTTTTTTGATTCGGTGTTGCAATGCAATGCCCAATGATAAGCCAGAACTGTATACTTGTATTGCACTGTTCATATTGCTCATTCAATACACTTCTTTTATCAAATCTCATCAATCACTTCAAGACTGCCCACTCAAGTGCAAACTGTTTGTTTAGTTTGTATCAGTGTCGTCATTGTCAATTAATATCAACATCTTGTCCCGTTCTTACGGAACATTCTTTAATCAATCATATAGAAAAGGAGGTGAGTTTGTTGATTTTAAATGAACTAACATTCTTGTATATAATTATAGGTGTCTATTCAGTGTATATATCAGAATCATTCAGGAAATCCAATCTTTACTGGGGAAGCAATGTACGAATGCTTGCTTTGTTCATTCAAAGCTAAAGAAGTTAAAAATTTAACCTTACATTATTTCGCTTTTCATGGTATCAAAAATGCCAGTCCAAATTTGACCAAGCATTTAACTTACGACTATTCATCAGGTTCTTAGTATTATTTGTTTTTTCTTATTTCAATTAATTACTTCAATCAATTAGGATTAAATTACAATTTCCATGATGCAAAATCATTGTTTATGGGTGATAAACGAAATGCATTTGTCGATCTTAATCAAGATGATGGAGAAATGAGTTCTCATTCAGTAAGTTTTTTTATTTAATGTTGGTTGAATACGTGTTCATTTTTGTTTATCTAGGTTGGAACAGAAAGTGGTCGATTTTCCAGGGGATCTCATCTTAGTTGTAATCATTAGATTTTTTGCTATTTAATTATTTTTACTCTTTAAGCATCCCAAGTCAACCGAAGTTTAATGCCATATAAATGTACACACTGCGGCAACGCTTATCACAAACGAAAGTATTTTGCTGAACATGTTTTCTCCTGTTCCAAATCTTTGCAATTAACTTGCCCATGTGGCCGTGTTTGTAAATGGAGATCGAATTTCTATGCACATAGGTTAGTATTCTATGTAATTTAGTGTGTCTTCGTAGTGAAAGTATTTTCCATTTCATTGTCCAAATAAAAAATGTGTTTGTGTGACCAAGTGCAATGTTATAGGTTTTAACTGAATAAGTTAATTTAAGGAGTAGTTGAACAGGCTGTTTGTTCCATTCTTAAAGCCTTTTGAAATGGTGTTTGTTGTTTCTCATTATTATCAGAATAGCTTTCTCCATAGAAGTTTTGGTGAAACGAACGTTTGTTACATCATTGATATACGTAAAACATTTAGAAATAGCGTATATCCTGTAGTCATTTTATGAATTCCACCTTCAGTTTGTGCATCGCCAAATTTCAATATTACCGTCAAGTTTTTTATTAATCAACTCTTCTCACTGAAAGCAATATGCCCACCCTTCCGTGTCTTTAATAGTTTGTATATAATTGTGATTTTTATATAACTATCATATATATTTCTTCCTGAGATAAGGTTAGTGATGAGTACCGGTCCGGTTGCTAACAGAAATAATATTTTGTGAATGACAAATTGCCTAAATTCCTCATATTCAATCTGCCTTCTAGTTCATTATTTAAATACTAAGTTTGGCTTCGGACTTAATTTTTTGCTCACAATGTCCAAAAGGTTGTGCCGAATTTTTATGACTTACTTAAGAATCTGACATACTAAGCCATCGATGAAGGAACCCAATTGGACAAGTTAAACTAGGGAAGCACTTAAGTTCTATTTTGAACATATTGTACTTGAATTTCTAAATCCTGAGTTTATTACTTGTAAGTTTTCTTATTAATGTGAATTCGTGGTAAGTTTCAGATTTTAACGACAAAATTATGTACATTTGCATTACTTCTAAAAGCACCTTAATGTTGTAAAAATAATTACAGCGACGATCACATGAGAATTCGGTGACCTCAGTCAGCTATATAGTGTGTATCAGTGGCCTAGTTGTTAAGTCGATTGATTCAAGACCGCTGTGTTCCTCTTTCAGACCCTGTTCCACCTACTTCAGTTTGGTCGGCTGGACAGTATAATTAGCCCTTTCACTAAGTCTTAATCAAAAGCAAATATCTACACTTGTACTTAACGGTGGGTGTAAAATGAGTGACACACCCGTAATTTTCGCTTTCTGTATCTTACAGTTTTGATTAGTTTATCCCACCAACCTATTAATATTTGTTGCATCAGTCGTAATCATTTAGGTCGTTTAACAATAGGTATTTTTCAGTCACTTATAATCGAGATGGAGCCTGAAGCAAATGTCAGCCCAAGTTACCAACCTGCGTCAATACAGGGAGATTACTCAAACAAGATACATAACAAAAAATTCGAAATAATCGTAGTATCAGTGATATTGAAAGACCACATATTGGTGGTAAAACTCATCCTTGATTGCATCCGGGCTGCAATCTGTCGGGGCATAGGCGGAGATGACGAAAAGACATCGTTTCTCACGCCGATTTCTTCTCACTTTGATGGAACTTTCTAATCTAACAGCACATAACCGACTGTTAATGGGGATCCAATCGACTAGTGCTGCCTCAGCTCTAGCGCTTAGTGCGACACCAACGCCTGCAAGACCAGACGAAGATGCCACAGGGTCCCCGGATAAGCGCACGTAAAACAAGCTTTTTGAAGCGACAGATGGAGATCGAATTTGTAGTACTTCACCAGAGTCTTGAATACGGGTCTCGGATAGACAACAGACGTCGATATTAAAACTTTTTAAAGACATAGCCGACCTTATCTGTTGTCCGATCTGCATTAGTGTGCGAACGTTGAAGGCAGCCAATTTGAATGGTATATGTGGTTTCAGAAAAACTGATTTAGTACTCATATTCGGTGGTAACATACAATTTTCAACGGGACAGTGACTCAAGGACGTTTAGATAGAGTCAAATTTCCACCAAAGATGAGCCGCTGTGTAAGTATAAAAGAGGGTGAATAATGTGGTAAATAATCGTGATAATAATAATAATAACGACAATAATAGTATCAATAATGACAATAATAGTAATGATAATTATTTGAATCGACTGATTGACACAGACCAATCCTAAAGCAACATTCTGCATTAAGAGGTGGATAAGCGCTTTTGCGCTCTCCAATATGTTTAGAAGACTCTATATCCAAACCAAATAAGACTCATCCGTATATTTTGAATAAGTAAGTCTCCTGTTAAAAGTTATCTAAATAGTTATTTCTGAAATAATGTCTATTTTGAAGTTAACTGAAAATGGAAGACGTTAATTATGACTAACAGCAGTTTCAGCTCTTAATTCTGTCGCAAGTTCACCGATTCGACTTTATATATGTTTACATATTTAAAACCCAATTATGTACTTCGAAGCGGTGTTTCAATGAGCGTGCGATGTTTGTGCGATCGAAATGTCGAAACTGGTGTTACTTGTGGGAGAAGTCGAAGAAAAAGGAAAAAACTAAACAAGTGTTTCAATTGTTGACACATTTACCTCGGATATTTCTTAAAGATATGAAGGAATCTGTTACTTCCTCGTAGCCCACAATGCTAAAGAATACTTAAGAAATCTAAAGGTGAAAATTGGTTAGAGATAGTCTTTATGACTTTCCAACGCGAACACAAAGTCCAAGGAATATCGGCTTACAGCCGGCCACATATGGATTTTTATTATGTAGATTTTGGTGTGTTGGGTCAGTAATTTTCAAACCTTACTGCCTACAAGAATCCATGTGATTAACCTTTTCCGATCTCCTCTTCCTCCCGTTGTGGGAAGCTAGCAACCGTGGAGATGCGAGTTTTCCAAGGGAAAAACCCTAATGCCATCTATCCCTGAATGAACGGTCGCCCTCGGACCATGATGCCTTTGCTTTCTGCTTCACTGTTTCCCAATTGACTTAGCGTTTAAAGCAAGAACTAAAGAAAGAGGTATTTTTGGCCATGCTCCATCACTACGTCAAGGTATTAGTTGTATTTCCCCGGCGAGAGGGATATTACCATTGGAGCACGCAAACTTCATATTTATGAAAATGTATGTCTGTGTTTTACGCCTCTGGTGCACCGAATTTCCGATGGCATCATAGTTTGAATGAAAATAAGAAACTATTTGCATATTGTCTAAGTAAAATTTCATGATGCTCTTATTTTTGTTAATAACGCATCCTTTTTTCAATTTCAGAAAATCATGCGCCGTTTATAAACAACTTGTAACTGGAGGCAGTCATCTCTCTGTCTTTCGTCGTCGAGGATTGACTTTGTCTAAATCAAGCATTAATGATGATTCTGAAAGTATTACTAAAGAATCAGTTAGTTCTAGCGAACATCTGCTGGATATGTCAACTAATCCCAAAGATGCTTCTACTGTAAATCTAATTGGTGGAAATGATTTAACTTCCTTAGTTTCTTCATCTTCTACACCCGAAGTTACTTCCCAGTCTAATGCAGACCCTAGCATTGATGTATTTGGAAATCATTCTGATTCCCTTCAAACCTCTCTCACCTACATAACTCCAGTTTCATCTCTAGCCACATCTGTCCCGACTTTCGTTTCCAATGAAAATGTTGAAACAAATAATCTAAATCATGTATCTAGTAATTCGATGGTCACATCTGCCTCTATAATTCATGCATTAAGTCAAACTTCTAATTTGTCCGTATTAGTTGACACACGTTGCCCTGTCAGTAATTATCCTTCAAATCAGATAAATGAATGCACCGCCACTAATGCGGAAGGTGGATTTATCCAATGTGTATCATCAAAAGGTGAACCACTTATCATGTTTCCTGGTATGTAATTTGAAAAACTTAAATGCATAATTTTACTCTCCGGTCAACTATATATATATATATATATATATATATATATATATATATATATATATATATATATATATATATATATATATATATAATATGCATACCGCAACACTCAGTTGAAAATTCCAAGAAATTAAAAAGCTTTAAAACTACTTTCACAGTATATCTTTCTGTCTTATATGTAAGAACGAATTAATTTATTTTCCTTTCTTATTGATTTCTTTTTTTTCATGTAACTTCTGTGTATAAAGTTGTCTTTTATTATGCCATTTTGTTTAAATTATCGCTTCTATCTTCCAATATATGCATTGTTCATGAAGGAATCAGTGGAATAAATGTCACAAGTTTGTAACAATTTAGATTTCGTGCAAATATAATATATGCTTTTCTTTAAGAAATCTTAACCTATAGACAAAGTTTGCAATACTTATCATGTTTTTCAATTGAGCAAAAAATTCATGTTTTTTAATTGTACAACTTTAAAAAGAACACATTTAGGCTTTAATTAAGCTGACATCTTTTAATGTTAATTTATGGTGTAAAAAACATTTGTCATTCAATTCGGAAACTTTCTTACATAAATAGATCATGTTTTGTAAATCGATTGACGACTAATTAAATGACAATGTGAACAAGATAGTATTTAGTAAAAAAATATGTTATTTATACGCACATATTTCGGCCTAAACCACTTGTTAGTTTCGTCAGTCGTTAGCCAAATAATATAATGAGAAGGGGTTTGTGGAGATTTCAGAAATTTCAATAGTTGAAATCATGAGCCAATTGACGCTAGACCACCATGAAAAACCTGGAAGCACTGGGAAACCGTTTCGTCCTAGTATGGGACTCCTCAGCAGTGGGTTCTGATCTCGCGGGGGACGAGTTTGGGTTTCACAATTTTCGCTACGTGGAGACACTTCCGGTCAACTGCTTAAACATTCAGTGCATATTCGTTACAGAATTATGTTAACATAGAGTTGAATTCCAAATGGATTAGTCATTTGTGACTCCTTTGACCGTCATACTGATTGTATGTTCAATTGATACAGACAAACTGAATACAGATATCGATGTTGTACAGTCATCGTATAAAGGTACTTAATTGCTAATTTTGGATAAGTTGTTTTCCTAAAGAGTCTCGTATGAACAGCTAGTTCCTCAAAAGTAGTTTAAGCACAAGCCATACACGTAAGTTGATTCCTCGCCATATTAAATAATGTAAAGATGATTCATGGAAGTATCCACCATGCTCTTATTGACATTTAGTTTCTTGATACTCGTAATTAGGTGAATATATGTCCAAATGTTACAAACAACACATGTGTATCACAATCTTCTCACCATATCTCAATTTCATTTTGAGTGATTACACGGCATCATATTGATCGTACATTTGCGGCGTGGTGATTGTGTGCCTACTGTTGGTTTTTTAGTAAATAAAAGACTTCAAGTCAAATAAGTTTATCAGTAAGAAACTTTCTTCAGGACTAATCTTCAATGAGTATTCCTTTATTAATGACCGATGATGGAAAGGACTTTCGAATCTAATAAACGTCGAAAAACCATAAGCCTAAAACTCATTCTCAACGTTTAGTAAAGACTTATTTAAACGTTTGGTGGATGCCATTGCTTCCAAAATGACTAAGTTAATTGTGTGAATGCAATTCCGAAATTGTACAATAACAAATTTTCAAATTAATTTTTACTAAAAAAACAAAACATTATTATTATTATTTGAACACATGAATATTGGTACAAGAGAGCGCCAATATATATGCGCCACACAAAAAAACAAAACAAGTGGTCAGTAAAAATGTTTCCGATTGCATAGACGATGTTCAGGAAAAAGGACTCACAATCGATGGACAGAAAGTGTATTTTTATGTAGTGCCAAGTTCCAGATAACTTACTCGTCTAAATCAGGATCATTGGTTAGTTTCACTAAGCGATGTAGTCATTATGAATTAAAATTCTATAAAACATATTTTCTTGGATGTACAGAATGATTCCTAGTTGTTTTTAAATCAGGTATAACGCTATCGATAGTTTTGACAGATTACCTGTAGAAATTTACCGTAAATCTCATTTATTATCTATAACTATCAGCAGTCTAGTTTAAATCTTCATAATTTTATCAGTTATGTTAATTTTCATACCTTACTTAATCCAGCTCATTTAATTTAATTAGACAATTTATCAGTTACTATACGATAGGGAAAATGTTCCTAACTATTTAAATCCTCTGTAGATACAGCTTTTTAATCGTATCTCTGTGAAATAAAGTATACGGAAAAACATTAAGACTACTTTATGAATATATTTTTAAATACAAAGGTAAATCTTAAGAAGATAACAATTAGCACTGATTATTTGAAGGTTCTTCAGCTAGTATCAGTACGTGAAAAAAAGCTAATTCACTCTTCAACAAGGTAAATGGGAATTTCATCACAATAATCATACGATAAATAGTTTTCAAAACATCCTAGAAATAATAAGAAAAAACTATTGTATTGATAAAACAAGTATTAAGTTTATTGAAATAGATAAAATTATTATTAGGTTAATAGTGTTTCTCAGAATTATTGTTGCAATCAACATTAACGAATATTTGCTGATATCACCAGGATTGTGACAAACTGAAAATGAAAACAGTGTAAATACATTGAAGAAAAAAACACCACAGAACATTTGAACACAGTGTATAAGTTTACGTATAGACAGTTGTATACACATAGGTAGGTATATTGAATAAAAGTAAAATTGTTGTACATTAATCCTATTGTAAAATTGAAATACGTAATATGTTTGTGTGTTATCAATCAGAAAAAAAAACAATGAAATCATTATTGTTTTCCATTTAATCCCATTTCATTGATCAGTGTGACTTTTTGAACTTTTTTATCAAAACTATCCAGATTATAAACACGTAACATTTCTTCACGTAGACATTCAGCTGCTAACGCCAAATTTCTTGACTACGAAAAATAAACAACTATTATTCACTGTAACAATTTATATTATTATTATTTATTTATTTGAACACATAAATATTGGTACAAGAGAGCGCCAATATATATGCGCCACACAAAACAATGGGAATTCGAAGAGAAGTAGAAAGAAGAAAAAAACTAAGGAACGCAAAAGAAAAAGAGAACAATGACGAAGAGGTACAATCAGAAGAAATCTTTCAGGTAAAGGAGACACAACCACTTTTTATGAAGAAAGTAAAAGAAGGTTACAGCAGGATCGCCACTGGCTTCTATTCTGAGCCATATCTGATAACGTCTCTAGCCACTGTGTAGCACCATCTCTCGGACCCCAGCCAGGGAGTCGTGAAGGACCAACACAAGCCAGTCCTTTGCAGCTTTCTTTCGTGCCACGACACCATGTCATGCACTGACCACCTCTCCGCTTCTTCCAACCAGTCCCAGAGTCGGCAAATAACGCACGACGTGGAATTCTCTGGGACGACATTCGGAGAACATGTCCAAGCCACCGAAGTCGGTGTTTCAAGATGGTGACACCAATTGAGTTATCATCTCTGTGCCCGAACACACGATGCCGAACCTCTGCATTACTGACATGGTGTTGCCACTGAATGTCAGCAATCCTTCAGAGACAACGATGATCGAACACAGAGAGTCGTCTAACGTCCTCAACTCGGAGAGGCCAGGTTTCACAAGCATAGAGCAAAACTGCTCTCACCGACGCGTTGTAGATCCGGCCTTTTACAGCCAGACTAACATCACGAAGGCGCCAAAGGTGGCCCAGATTGGCATAAGCCGCTCTGGCTTTCACTATTCGTGAATTGATCTCATCACTCACACCCCCACCAGCACTTATGCAGCTACCCAGATACACGAACTTCTCAACTACGTCTATCTGCTCACCGTCCAGGGTGAGTACAGGATTAGAATCCTGCCAGTCTTGTGGAAGTACTTTGCACTTCGAAGGTGCAAAGCACATACCATACCTACGGACACTGATTGCCAACTGATTAAGTGCGGATTGCATGCCTTGGACATTATCGCACAGTAAGACAATATCGTCCGCATACTCAAGGTCGAGAAGTCTTTCTCCAGGCAACAGATCCACACCACCATTACTTACATTCATCAGAGCTGTTTCCAGAATGTCATCGATGGCAAAGTTGAAGAGGAATGGTGAGATTGGGCAACCCTGCCTAACCCCACTGCTCGAATGGAACAATGGAGAAAGGTGGTTGTATGCCCTCACTCTACCTGAGGTGTTTGTATATAGGGCTTTTAGGATGTTAATAAACTTCTCAGGCACACCCTTCTTCAATAGACAATCCCAGAGAACAGTCCTATCCAACGAATCGAAGGCAGCCCTGATGTCAAGAAACACTACGATTGTTGGCCTTTGAAAAGTATGGCAGTGTTCTAACATTTGGCGGAGGGTGAAGATATGATCAATACATCCTCGACCAGAACGAAACCCAGCCTGCTCCTCGCGAGTCAATCTTTCTCGGGTTTTGAACAACCTACGAAGAATGACGGAAGCCAATAGCTTGGACGCAATCGGAAGTAAACTTATCCCCCGATAGTTGTTACAAGAACGACGTGAACCCTTTTTAAAGATAGGGACAACTATCGACTCATTCCATGACGTTGGCACACTCTCTAGTTCCCAAACCTTTGTAAACAACGTCGTCAATTCCTTAGTCAAAAAGTCACCACCATCTTTAAAAAGAGCCGGAGGTAAGTCATCTGGGCCAGGTGATTTGTAACGCTTCAAGAGTTGGAGTTCCTTGCGGACTTCCTCCTCATATGGTTACTAGTAATTTAGTGATATTATTATTGTTGATTATTTTGTGCTAAAAAGTAAATAAAGAGAACTCTTACCAATCATTAGTGTGGCAAGTGATACAAATTTTATGATTGTCAGTTGTGTTTTTAACACATCGTTATAATTTAAAACAAGACCATTATATAGTGTATTCAATGGTATTGATAATGAGCTGTCTAATTTAGATGCTATTTTCGGATGGAAAAGAATTCTAATTTACGCTGATACAGAAGGAATACCAAATAGAGTTGATTTTAAATTGGTGATTGCTTATTAAGATATTGCTGATGTTCAGTAACTTAAAACATAGGTAACAGGTTTATAATGTTATCTAACTATGGACTGCGGAATACAATCGCGTTTCTAACCCAGATACACATTTTGAGAAAAGTCAATCATTAGTGCACAGGCACCACGGGTTTATTTCCTAATACAAGTATATTGTATCAGACCATTGTTCTTTGTATAACATCTCAGTTAGTTTATGTACGAATATTAGGTCACTAGTTTATAGCTTATTAAAAGTATATAATCAGAGCACATTATGCTGAACTATTTTAAGAGCCAGTCTAACAAAATTAGTTCTGTTTAACTTTCCTAAAGTATTTCCGAATGAGTATAAGTATGGTGGACGTGAAACGCATGATCAGAACTAACGGGTTTTATCAAAAATTCTTTAAACAACCCTTCATGGTAGTTTATTTTTGGTGGTTATTATTATTGGGCTTACTGTTGGGAAATTTATTCCTGGAAATTCAAGGGTTGAAAAAAGGTAACATGGCCGGTATGTCTAGCCAAACTGTAAAAATACCGAGGTTGATATGTCTGTTATAGATAACTTGCAAGAATCATTTCATGTGATCTATTCGGAATCGTGTGAAGATTTTAAACGTGTATTTAACTAGTTAATCCCCGTACTGTCCAGGAACTCGTAAATCTCCTAACCAGGTAGAGTTTAATGTTATCCCAGTGTAAACTAACGAATCAATTGTGAAGTACTAATATACCTTCCAGGAGTTAGGTAAATGTGTAGAATTAAAGGCTACATTTATTATAATGAAAACAATACTCACTTGCTGAATCCTAGCTTCTTTTTCTTCAATTAGTCGACGTATGTGTTCATCTTTCTGTCGTAAAGCTAATTCAGCTGCCTTTCGTACTTCTTGTTCTCTGCGTTGTATTCTTTTAATAATAATAATCAAACTTTGCGGTCAAACATAATTTACAAAATAAATAACGTTTTTGTTCACTGAAATGGTGAGTCCAGAAGACGTTAAGATTACCACCATTACTTTCCTATATGTAGTATATGGTATCCCGAAACGTGAAATGATAAATCTAATTTGATTTTATTTAATGTTTAAACTTAATTTCACTAGCAAAATTTTTATTAAGTAATTTACTATTATTCTGAAATTTGATAGTGAGCAGTTACCAATATCCTATTTATCTAGTCCTTGGAATCAGCCGAACTCTACCGGTCATGTCGCGTTGTGTTCACTTTATTTCTGACTTTAAGTGGTTGGGTTTAAAATTTTCCAATATCTTAGTTTTTAAATAAGAATGCAATTTATTATTGTCTTATTTCTGTGGTGAAACTCTTAAAATTCTACATTGTAAGTAGTAATGGTTAGCAAACTCATGAATAAGTTCACTTGATAATATGAGTTTGTTACTTGCATTTTCTGTACAAATTATGATCATTACTGGGAAGGCGTATGTTCGTTATGTATTCTGATGAACTTAATTACGCCTGTTACTCCTCATGAAGGAACATAGGCCACTCACCAGCATTCGCCATCCAACCGTGTCCTGGGCAATCCGTTCCAGCTCCTTCCAGTTGTTATTCATCCTTTCCATATCTGTTTTTATTTCCTGACGTAATGTGTTCTTTGGCCTTCCTCTTTTCCGCCTTCCTTCAGGATTCCAAATTGTCGCTTGCTTCTTGATGCAGTCTGATGATTTCCCCAATGTATGTCCTATCCACTTCCAACGTCTTTTACTAATTCTCTCTTCAGCTCAAAGCTGGTCTTTTCTCTCCAACAGTTGATTGTTGTTGATGGCATCCGGTCAACGGACATTGATTATCTTGCGTAGACAATTGTTTGTAAATATTTGTACCTTTTCGATGATGGTTGTAGTAGTTCTCCAAGTTTCAGCTCCGTACGGTAGAACTGTTTTGACGTTCGTATTAAAGATTATGACTTTGATGTTGGCTTGTTGTTTTGAGTTTTATATGTTATTCAACTGTAGGAATGCAGACCATGCTTTGCCGATCCTAGCCTTTACGTCTGCATCAGATCCTCCTTGTTCGTCGATTATGCTTCCCAGGTATGTGAAGGATTCTACATCTCCCAGAGTTTCGCCATCAAGGGTGATTGGATTGCTGTTCTCCTCTTTGAATTTGAGGACCATGGTTTTCCCCTTGTGTATGCTGAGGCCTACTGATGCAGAGACTGCTGCTACACTGGCTGTCTTTATCTGCATTTGTTCATGTGTATGAGATAAAAGGGCCAGTTCATCTGCGAAGTCCAAATCGCCTAATTGATTCTGAGCTGTTCATTGTATTCCGTGTTTTCCTTCCGATGTCGAGGTTTTCATAATCCAGTCGACCACCACAAGAAAGAGGAAGGGAGAGAGTAGACAGCCTTGTCTGACTCCGTCCTTACTTGGAATGCATCTGTCAGCTGTCCTCCATGCACGACCTTGCACTGTAGTCCGTCATATGAGTTCCGGATAATATTGAAATTCTCCTCAGGAACTCCGTAGTGTCAAAGAAGTTTCCATAACATTCTCCTATCTACACTGTCAAATGCCTTTTCATAATCAATGAAGTTGACGTACAGTGACGAGTTCCACTTAACTGGTTGTTCAACGATGATCCGTAGTGTCGCAATTCGGTCTGTACACGACCGATCCTTACGGAATCCAGCTTGTTGATCTCGAAGTTGCGCATCTACTGCATCTTTCATCCGATTCAACAAAACTCTGTTAAAGACTTTTCCTGGTACTGGCAGTAGTGTGATGCCTCTGTAGTTTTCACATTTGCTCAGGTCTCCTTTCTTTGGAATCTTGATGAGGTGTCCTTCTTTCCAGTCCATCGGCACTTGTTCCTCCTCCCAAATCTTTTTGAATAAAAGGCGAAGCATATTTGTAGTTACTTCGATGTCTGACTTCAGTGTTTCAGCTGGTAAGTTGTCGGGTCCTGCTGCTTTTTCGCTCTTGATTTGTCTGACGGCCATTCTGTCGTAGGATCGACATCTATAGGAAGATCTGTGTGCGCTGATTCGATGTCCGGTGGATTCATTTGAGCCGGCCTATTCAGGAGTTTCTCGAAGTATTCTACCCATCTGTTCCGCCGTTATTGCATTTCAGTGATTGGCCTGCCTTCTTTGTCCTTGACCGGTCTCTCTGGTTTACTGTATTTCTCTGCTAGTTTCTTCGTTGTATCGTAAAGTTGTTTCATATTTCCTTCCCTTGCAGCTTTTTCCGCAGTCGTTGCTAGTTCTTCCACGTATTTCTGCTTGGCTGCTCTAATGCTTTTCTTCACTTGCTTGTTTGCTTCCATGTATTCAGCTTGTGCTTGGACTTTCTCTGCTCGTGTTCGGCTGTTGTTAATTTCTATCTTCTTGTTCTTCCTTTCTTTGATCGTGTCCAGTGTTTCTATAGAGATCCATTCCTTATGATGGTGCTTCTTTAGACCCAGAACCTCTTGACACGTTGAAGTCAATGTTTCTTTGATACTTTTCCAGTTGTCCTCCATAGTAGTTTCTTCTTCCTTCTGATGAAGGTAAAACACTAAAAATATTTTTGATATCTACGATTTTGAGAGTAAATGTTTGATGAACAACTATCCTCCCTGTCAATTGGAGAATATTAATATATTACTGAGAAGGACATCTAAATGAGATAAAAATATGAATTCTTCGATGATTTTCTTTTTAACTTCCAGAAACATTGAAAATATGCTTTCAAAGAAGCAGGTGTATCGATGATTGGTCTTTGTTTGGTCGCGCCGAAATTCCGTTGGCGCTTATATAATCACCATGACTTAATGAGAAAAATGTTGAAGCAATAGTAGTAGGTAGCATAAAAATTCGAATAAATAAGTACTACATTCAAATCAGTAGCTTGCCCAGATAACTCGCTCAATTTACAATCTAATAGTTCTTTGTAAAAGAAAAACATAAGCATACATTGGGCCATGCTAGTTCGGAGTCTTATTCTTGATATGAAAATTAACTGCGTTAGTAAGTGATTGATACCGTTGAATTCTACTAAATTATCTTACAAATTCAATTTTCATTAAAACTTACTTCGCTTACGCCTGCTGCCCCTCACGAAGGAGTATAGGCTGCTCATTTCACTAAAACTACACAGAATAATTTACAAATATTTATCGATATACCTAATGATTTTTTAATTGATGTTAATCAGTTATAAAACTCAACTTTCATTAAATGACAATATATTTCAACTAACTCTTTTGTATTTTCTTCAACTTGCATTTGTTTTTGTCTTCGTTCTGAAGCTAATCTTTTCTGTTCTTCTGATAATCTACAGGATACACGTTCCATAGCTCTTTGTATAGACTGTACATTCAAAAATAATGAAAATAAGTTGGATGGGTTGCACAAACTCAGAGATACTAGTTATATTTTCAAATATCTATTCAATGTAAAAAGAAATTACAGACTTTATGTAAGCAATGATGGATACTGGCTAGCAGTAGAATCCAGGACGCGCGTTTCGTCCTATTTAAGATTCGTCAATTGAAGTCTTAAACCTCAATAGGAAGATACAAGCCAAACAATACCAAGCGAATTGAAATTATAGATGTTTCACTGTTTTAACGTTCACAAACAAAATTTACGTAGTATATATATTCCTTAATTCAAGTGTTTTATGACTACATAAAACTCAATCGTTCGGTACCTCCAAAATTTCTTCTGAATAATTCTGAAATACTCAGAAAATCAGAGTGATTCTCATCGAACTAGGATACTTCATAAAAACGCTTCGATCGTTTTAGATAATAAGTTCTTTATTATTAGAAGGCTGAAAAGTTCATCGGATCGTTTTCACTCAGATCACGACCAAATGACTGAAAACCGATAAACGTATCTATCGTTGGATTAATTTGATAAATGATCAAGGATAGGTATTTTTTTAATTATGCTGTCATTTCAAAACTCCGCCAGGAGCCTCCCCGGATCTACTGCCGGCCCCAAGCCCGAATAAAGGAGAAGGGTTGGGTATGGGGTTAGCAACCCCTTCCCATAGAAAACTAACTCGCTAAAAAACGCTAATCAGATAAAATAATTCAAACCATCTATACTGTGCCCTGGGAGTTAGAAGGTCTTCATTTAGAAGTGTTATGACGCCTCATTATGAAAACCTAGTTCCTTTGGAATTCACGAAGCTGGTGCTCCTCCTGACAACCAGAGCGATCGTTAATTTAGGTACATGGGATGCTCGTACAGTGTGGGAGACAGGGAGAGCTATTTTTTTCAAAGAGATTTCAACTAGATTAGTAGCTGAGTTAATTTATTTGATTATAACTTAAAATCATTAGATAAATCGTATGTACAAATAATTTAAAGCATTTTTACCTATTAATATAATTATAAGTTAAAAATTCACTATTAATTTCATTGGTTATTTCAATAACCGTAAAAAGACGTTTAGTTTAATTGTTATTTAGATAAATTTCAATCTTCCTAATCCACTCACTGTTAGATTTAAAGCTGCAAACTAGATATTTCAAACAAAATTTTATAATCACCAGTTATTACGTAACAAACAAGATAGACTGTTAGCTTACTTCTGAATATTTTTGATCACGGCATCTTTCCGAAAATTCAATTGATACATTTTAATGTCAACAATCTCAATTCCAGAATACTGAATAATAGGTTTACTGGTCGCTACATTTGATGATCAAGTACATATACATGGATTTCAAATGTCTAGAATATGTCGTCAATCTGGATGGATTTCCTAGCAAATATTAAACATTATTTCATATTTTATAAGCAAAGATGGATAGTGGCTAGCAGTGGAATTCAGGACACGCATATCGTCCTATTTGTGACTCGTCAGTTGGATGTATTTGCATCTCAGAGTTGATGTTCACTTGGGGACTCGGACCCAGTACCGTTTGATTCACACGCCATCACGTTATTCACTATCCATCTTTGCTTATGACCTAATGCAATATCGAGGCAGGATGCATATATGTCAACAAGAGACTGATCAATTGCAGTCCTAAATAATAATGAGAAGATACAATTAGACAACACCAAGTGAATTATTTTAATATTATTTTATTTACTATGTAGATTTTGTTTTATTCTCATGATAAATGTGATATCAGGTAGCGGAAGCGTTGAATGATATGATTCGAAATCAATTACGTTGTGGTAAATTCATTCACTTATTATCCTTTTTTTCGAACAACGAGAAAATGGGAGAATTTCGCCAAAAGGCAGGCTTCCACTCGAGGACAACTATATTTTCTCCATGAGTGTCTTCTCCAGCATGTTCTATTAACGAGTGTAAGATACAGACCTCCAGTCAACTGCCCATTAGGATGGAAAATAGCTGAGCAAAGTGGGAGAAAAATGGTACACCTAATGATAACAGATGTAGTTTCAGTATTTCTTCAATCATTTTCAGCTGTTTCTTCTTAAACTATATTCTTAATTTTAAGTTTTTCTCATTATCAATTCTATTATAATTATTTCGACTACTTTACTGTCATCCTTTACTATAGATTTTAAAAGACAAATTGAGCTAACACGTATTTATGTCAGGCTGCATATTGAATATTACTGGCTGCCCGACTTTTATTTTATTGATAAGAGGTCGTTATTAGAAATGTGATTAAATTCTATTAAATGATAAAACGTCGATGAAATTTCGTATTTATGTTGCCCATATGTATAATATCGTTAAGTATTCCGATAATGTTGGCTTACTTGTTCTCGAGCTTCGTACAGTTCTTTTCTATATTCTTCGATCATTTTCCTTAATTGTTTTCTTCTTTCTAGAACTTGACGAACTTTTCTTGCACGTTCATAACTGAAAAAGTTTTCAATTATGGTTAAGAAGCACCAAGTTTCCTGTCAATCTGTCTGGTGCGTTTAATTAAAAAACATTTCTAATACTACCTTGAGATAAAGTGGGCAGGTTGCTAAACCTCCAATAAGGGATGTAAAATGTTTTAGTTACGTTTCTGGCTCCTTAGCAGTATGCAATATCAATCTACATGAAGTCAAACTTAAGAGGTTCAATGGTTTGTAACTGATATAGGCCCTCTTAAAAAACGACCCAATCTGAACTTTAGAAACAACTTAGTTTATACTTTGATCATCTGATGGAACAATGATTACTAATTACGGTTTTAAATTAGTCAGAGCACAAATACCTTACAGAAAAGTATTTGAAAGTGTGATCATACAACTACAATTCTAACTATACTTTAGTGAATACATAAATAATGTTTAGGTAGTCAAGTAAATTTGGCCAGTACTTATGGACTGTTTATCTTCTTCAGTAACTAATTGACTTGGTAGGAGACCTTATTCATGCACAAGTTTTATCAGTATAGGGTTATGAAAAATGTTGAATTTTATCGTGATCGTGAACCGATTCAAATTAAACAACCAGTGAAAATTTGGAAGCACTAGGCAGCCACTTTGTCCTGGTATGGGATTCAGCAATGGGCACTTACGACTCCATGACCGGAGATCAAACCCAGAATCTTGAGTCTCACGCTCAACTTCTAGACCAATAAGTCGGGATTCAATGGAGCACAGATTTGACTCCAATTAATCCGTGACATTAGCCGTGCGATATTGTAAAAATGCTGAGCGCCTTACAAAAAATCGTATATTCTTTCAAAAGTATGAATCATGACAAAACAACCGATTCGATAATATTCTAGAATGACTGAAGTGAAGAGTCTGATTACTCGATTATGGACGGGAACCACGAGTTCAAATCCAAACAATTTTCAGAAGACATAACTATTTTTGAAAGAACTGTATGTATAATTCGGAAATTAAAAGTAGTGAATATTAACAAGAATGAAGTAAGAATTCTAAGATTACTACCTAATACCTTCAACCGCTTAACATTAATAGCGATAATGAGTTTTGTATCTCTTTAAATTTCCAATGAATATTGATTGTAAAACCATCATATATATTCGTATAATTACGTTTACTCATCTATGAAACTTACTGGGCCGTAATCATATTTCTTTCTTTTTCTTTCAAAATTTGATTTCTGTGTTTTTCAACTTTGTTTAGCTTCTCTTCATAACATTTTTGTGCGCGTTCTCTTTCATCACTATATCAGTTACAATAGCAAAAATGATCATTATTGTTCTATTATCACGTAGTTCATACATGCAATATCTAAATATTAAGCCGATGATTTTAAAATTTATGCCATCTACTTTGGTTCAGATCATAATGAATGGATATCTATCGAAACTCTGAGAAAGATTCAAGAAATGAAGAAGAAGAAGACAGCAATTAACAACAGCCGAACAAGAACAAATTTCAAGATTAACAAGATCTACTTACAGAAAAAGAAACTACTATGGAGGATAACTGAAAAGGGATCAAATAAGCACTAACTTCAAAGTGTCAGGACGTACTGGGCAGCAACGAGCATCATGATAAGCAATGAATTTCTATCGAAACCCTGGAAAGGATTCAAGAAGGAAAGAAAAAGAAGACGGAAATTAACAACGGCCGAACCAGAGAAAAGAAAGTCAAGGCACAAGCTGAATACACAGGAGCAAACAAACAAGTGAAGAGGAGTATTAGAGTTGACAAGCAGAAATACTTGGAAGAGCTAGCAACAACAGCGAAAGTAGCTTCAAGAGAAGGAAATATGAAACAGCTTTATGACACAACGAAGAAATTGACGGGGAAATATAGTAAACCAGAGAGACCGGTCACGTAAAAAGAAGGTAATTCAATCATTGAGATTCAAGATAAGAAGAACAGATCGGTAGAGTACTTCGAGGAACTCTTAAATAGACCATTTCCGCTGAATCGACCGGATATTGAAGTAGCACCTACAGACCTCCCTATAGAAGTCACTCCACCAACGACGGAAGAAATCAGGATGGCCATCAGACATATCGAGGGTGGGGAAGCAGTAGAACCTGACAGTATACCAACTGAAGCAGTGAAGTCAAATATAGAGGCAACTGCAAATATGCTCCACGTTCTATTTAGGACGATTTGGGAGGAGGAACAAGTGCTAACAGGCTGGAAAGAAAAATATCACATCAAGAGGCCAAAGAAAGGAGATCGGAGTAAATTTGAGAACGAAACAGGCATCATACTACTGTCAGTACCAGGAAAGGTTTTCAGCAGTGTTGCTGAACCGGATGAAATATCCAGTAGACGCCCAACTTTGTGATCAACAGGACAGATTCCGTAAGGATCGATCGTGTACAGACCGAATTGAGACATTACGGATCATTTTTAAACAATCGTTTGAATGGAACTCGTCACTATATGTCAACTTCCTTGACAGTGTGGATAGGAGAAGCTTATAGAACCCTCTTCGACGCTATGATGTAACTGAGAAGATTGTCACCATCATACGGAACTCCTATGATGGACTACACTGCAAAGCCATTCATGGACGGTAGCTCACAGATGTATTCTAAATGAAGACCGGAGTCAGGCAAAGCTGCCTACTCTCCTCCCTTTCTTTCTTCTGGTGGTTGACTGGATTATGAAGATCTCCAGATTTGACGGAGGGCACGGAATACAATACGCAGCTCGTACGCAACTAGACCATTCAAACCTCATAGATAACCTGGCTCTTCTATCCCACATAAACCAGTAAGTGCAAGTCAAGATAATCACTGTAGCAGCAGCCTTCGCATCAGAAGGCACCAACATACACAAATGAAAAAGCAACGTCCACAAACACAACACAGAGAACATCAACCCAATCACACTCGATGGAGAAGCTCTGGAAAAGGTGGGGTCTTTCACGTACCTGAACAGAATCATCGCTGAACAAGAAGGATCTGATGCAGACGTAAAGGCTAGGATCGGCAAAGCATGGTCTGTATTCCTACAGTTGAATAACATATAAAACTCAAAACAACAAGCCAACATCAAAGTCATAATCTTTAATACGAACGTCAAAACAGTTCTACCGTACGGAGCTGAAACTTGGAGAACTACTACAACCATCATCGAAAAGGTACAAATATTTACAAACAATTGTCTACGCAAGATAATCAATGTCCGTTGACCGGATGCCATCAACAACAATCAACTGTTGGAGAGAAAAGACCAGCTTTGAGCTGAAGAGAGAATTAGTAAAAGACGTTGGAAGTGGATAGGACATACATTGGGGAAATCATCAGACTGCATCAAGAAGCAAGCGACAACTTGGAATCTTGAAGAGAAACGGAAAAGAGGAAGGTCAAAGTACACACTGCGCCAGGAATCGAAAGCAGATATGAGAAGGATGAATAGCAACTGGAAAGGATTACTCAGGACAGAGTTTGCTGGAGAACGCTTGTGGGCGGCCTATGCTCCTCTATAAGGGGTAACAAGCGTAAGTAAGTAACTTCTGTTCAGGGAAGTGAATACCATCTAACAGTTATTATGGTATAAAACTTATTCGATAAATCTGTACAGGATTATTGAGTTGCAGTACTCATGTAGAAAATTGTTGTTATTTTTATCAGCGGTTATCAAGAATAAGTATTTTCCAATAAACAGGCATCCCATCATATTTCAAAACTGTTCATATGATAATAAGTCTTGTTTTCATATTATGCAAAAATTAACGTTTCCTACGTGTTGATAATTGTTTGTAAAGTCAATCTCTCAATTAAAAATTAACCCATCTACTCTTATTGAGCCATAGGGTTATTATGTAGTAGTACTTAAATCCATATTGTTCATAAAATTTGATAAATGATTGTGTGAGAATAAAGAACTAAACAGAAATGTGATCATTATACCGAGCACAAATTAGTGTGCACATGATAAACAGAAAAGTAATTGTAAAAAGATTTAAACTCCTGTGTTTATAGTATAAACATTCTACTAGTAAGCGGGTTGATATATACACACAAACAATTACTTTTTGCTAATAGAAACCAAAAAACCAATGTTAACTACTTTCATAAAATAGTATACACAATGAGCTATTACGGCAAGACTACCACGTTTTTCTTCAAATTATTTTCTAAACTTTAATATTTACCCTTTATCAGATATCATTATTAAAAAAATACATTTCTCACAAGTTGATAATAACTAGTGAACGGAGGAATGTTGGACAAGTGTTTCACTGTACTTCTAGATTCCTATTATAGCCGAGAGTTCAACAGAGATAAAACGCAGCAACGTGAAAGCATAGAGTTGACATTTTAAACTTTTGACAATTTGTGATAAAGAGCAGTCTAAATCCATATTAATCAGTGATTTCTTGTATTTTGCTGTATATTACTAACAAGTTTCTAAATAGGGCAACCTAAACAACCAGTATTCCTTGGTTTCATGTAAAATCTCCATAATAAAAACCACTTAAACATAGATGATAAAGTTAACTACCGAAAGACTAGAAAAATTTGCACATTCGAAATCGATTTTTTTTAAATAACATCATACTTTTGCATTCGTTCTTGAGTTTGTTTCCGTTTCCAAAACTGTCTTTCTTTATCAAGTGATGAATGTGATGCCCTACGCTAAGAATAAATATACCAATAAATATATACTTCGAAAACAGGGAATATTTAACATATAACATACAATAAATAATTTAAATATATATTCACCAATTAATAAACACCTTTTACTGAGACAATAAGTTTATATTTACAAATAATACAACAGAGGATATTTTCATTACTAAACCAACTAAAGGATTGTATCCTATATTGATCGAGTACTATGTTCAATAGGAACTATACTTTTTGAGTTTTACAAAAATATTTTTTTATTCCATTATGTAATTCGAAATGAATGTGAGACTTTTCTTTTCAATTAGTTTTTCATCATGGCTGTACACTAATATATATAATGAAATAATACTCATAGAGTGGATACGTTACGTAAATCCTGCCCTCAAATGCCCTGGTATGGCCGAGAGTGAGGTGGGCCCTCCCTCCCTCTCGAAATACCCTCACACGGCCACGCGTATACAGCCTCTGCCAGGGAAGTCCTACTCACTGCATTCTTGTGGAGAGGGTATTGTTTATGAGATTGAGAGGACGAAAAGCGAATTTCCAGCGCTTTAACCGGGTTGTGTCCACCCAGGGGAGCTGGAAAATCTTGATTCCAAACCAATGGTGCACATGGGCTCCAGTACCCTGAGGGGACAAATGGCGTATGAACCAATCGTTGGTCACCGGCTACCATGGGACTGCATCTCCTCACGATGCTCCACTGCCTTGTGGGTTAGACCTTTAGGTCAAATGCTCGGGGTGTGGCCCCCTAAGATAACCACCTGCTTCGGTCTGGGCACCCGGGTAGTATACCAGCCCTCACACAATTCAAATGATCTATGTGGCACATATCTATTTGGTGCCTCCTTGTACCAATGTTTATGTGTTTAAATAAATAAATAAATTGTATATTCTATATAATTGTATATATTATTGTAGAGCCATGATGAAAAACTAGTTGAAAAGAAATGTCTTCGCTCGATTCATTCCTCCTTTATTTACCAAATGTCAAAATGGAAATTTTCACTATATTAAAAGTAAGATTGATTGAAAAAAAGGTTTACAAGCTTTATCACAATAAATAAAACGGAATTTCAGTTGAAAACACTTGCCACTATTGTAAAAACCATAAACATCATCAGGAAAATCGAATAATAATAAAAACAAATAAAATATATTTGTAAAAAAAACAAGTGAAATTAATTTGCTGAAAGTTCTTGTTACATATAAAAATAAGAGAATTATTAAAAATTAAGGTGTATTGAATAACAATTTACAGTAGAGCATGTTCGTTACCTCGTGAAAGATTTGAAAAAAAACTTGGGATTATTAGGTTTTTATGCAGAGTTCACGATATTTTGATCAATAGGTTCAAATACAATAGTACACATTTTATAATATCAGTTTATTCTCTGAGTTATGCAACAATATGCCAATATATACATATTTTTTTAAATGTCTATTTGATATAGGTTAAAGAATAATTGAAAACCAATGGGTAATAGGTATTATTGGACGAGGAAAATTGTTATTTCTTTAATTGGATAGGTTTCAATACATAACATTTATCTGAAAATAATAACTTTATTGTCAAAATAGAATAATTATCAGAAGGGGTTTGTGGAGATATTAAAAATTTCACAGATTGAAATCATAAGTCAGTTGAAGCTAGACCACCATGGAAAACCTGAAAGCACTGAAAGACTGTTTCGTCCTGGTATGGGACTCCTCAGCAGTGCGCATCCACGATCCCGCACCCCACAGGACTCGGACCCAGGACCTACTAGTTTCGCGCGCGAGCACTTAACCATTAGACCACTGAGCCGGCATCCAACGGTGTTAATGTCTAACTTCAACCAATACACGAAGTTGCGCCACCATATACCATTGTCTCCGGTGAGCTGATATCTCACAACAGACCTGGTTGAACTCCACTGGTAACGGCTTACCACTAGAACTCCAGGAGTAGCTTCAACTGACTCATGATTTCAATCTGTGAAAATAGAATAAATTTTAAAATCGAAACTAGAAGAAAGAATAACAGTTGAAATCAAAAGTAAAAGAATAAAGGTTTAAACAAAAGGCCAAGGAAAGATCCTTCTCATCTAATATCATACCGAAAATGTGGTGAAAGATGAAGATAATCCCTGTATCCAAGAAATTATCTGGTGATAATAATGTGAAATTTAGACTTATTGCAATAGCTTCACACTACCTCAAAACAATCGAAAAATTATTAATACTTCCACTTTAGCCTGTGATAAAAGAGCATATTGATCCGTAGCAGTTTGCTTACAGATGCAAAAGAAGCACCTTAGATGCTGTTGCTGTTCTGCATCACAATATAGTGTTCAACTTAGAAAAGGGTCAGAAGTATGTTCGATGTGCTTTTCTGGACTATACTTCAGCTTTTGACTCTATACCAAGACAACGTTTACTTAACAAGTTAATCAGCGTCAACAATGACAGCTGGATAACCAACTGGCTATGTTCCTACCTCTCTGGAAGAAACAGTACACTGTGTTTGGAGGAAAGTGTTCAGAATCTCTACTGTCTCATGAAGGTGTACCACAAGGAGCTGTTCTTTCACCACTTTTTGTCTCTTTTTTTCTACATAATCTGCCATCTTCCACAAAAAACACTTTTGTTAAATATGTGGACGATTTCACTGTATGTATGCCGATTTCTACCTCTTTACATTCTGTAGAAATGAATGAGACTTTGTATCGTATTGAATGGTGGTCTGTTGTTAATGGTCTCATACTTAATCCGTCTAAATGTCAATCTGTTAACTTTAGCATGAGACATGAACACCATCTAAACACCATTTTGAGGTTCCATAATGCTTGTGCGATTGAAAACTGTTTGATAAACACTGTATCGAAGGTTAATTATCTTGGCATTACCTTTTCCTCTGATCTCTCTTGGTCTTCTCACGTTTTATTATCATCGAAGGTTTTCCGTCTGACTTACTACATAAAGAGATTGCATGCTCTTGGGATTACTCGTCATTTACTCTTACAATTTGTCAATCCTTGCATATTACCTATTATTCTTTACTGTTCTCCATTATTCTTTCCCGGGCTTTTGAGAAAAGACTTTGCTGTATTGCGGAGAGTGCTGAAGGCAGTTAGCAAGGTGTGTGGTGAATCTTTCGAGGTCATAATTAATATGGTTGTGGATAGACATCTAAAGTCATGAAAACTCCTGGCAGGTGTTATTTTATCAGATACCAACCATCCCCTTCACTCTTATCTTTCTCCTTGTATATCTTCTGGTAGAATGAGACGTAATTACATTAAGATCCATGCATGCAAGCAAAAGTATAAAAGTTCTATAATACCTTACCTAGCAAATATACTCTGTGACGAACGGGTTGTTAGAGTTAACCTAGCCAATAACCTGCATTCTTAACATGTCGCTAATTTGTAAAGTTGTACAGTTTTTCGGTTGTTTATTTTTGTAAACCTTTTTTTGTATTTGTTACTGTATTTTTTTGCGTAAGTAACTTGTTGAAATACCCTGTGCTGAGAATTCTATATTGTACCAAAGTATAATATTGAATAAAGCCATTAATAATAAATAATAAATAAATAAACAAATAATCCTTCTAGTTAATTCATTTATGAATATTATTATTTCACGATGCAATCAAAGAACATACCAAGTTTAAATACAATACATCTTGAAAAGTAATTTACTTAATAAATTTCTATAAGTATAAAAGGACATATAAGACTTACTGTTAAACGCTGCTCCGTACATTTCAAATAATTGGAGCTCATTTTATCATGTTGAGATTTTCGGCAAATAGCCGATTGTGGTCTAGATGCCTACAACATTAAACAACATAACAACCATTCAATTTTTTTAAAGGTTAGTTGATATAGTAACAAATATAATTATTGACTGAATATTTATCAATCATTTATATTTTGTTCGTAGTGTAAATCTTAAAAATGGAAGGTTTCATTAAAAATTAAAATCAGTAGTAGGTTATGAAAATATTAGATAGTTATTGTATCTTATTCAGAAATGTTTGAGTTGTTGGTGGTATATTATGACCTGAAGGATTCGCTAATTATTCATTGATTCTTGAATTATTGGAATACATTCTTCTAATTAATTTTTGTCGAGGCTGATCAATTTGTCTTATCCATTACTATCACTGTAAAGTATTCAGTTTAGCTTTGCGATTACTTTAAGTAGAAAGCTTCAGGTTAATTAAAAATATGTACTAAGGATACAAAATTCAGGTTTAAAAAATAGTCAAGTGGTAACAATTACTCAAAGATTTTTGAGAAGAAAAGGAACGAGATGTTAAACAACTGCTCACAAATACTTTATATTTTCTTATCATTTAAAATTCTGAAAAAGAAATCCGTCAAACTACCAGAAGTTCAAATGAAACTTTGAGTTCATATGAATATATCAATGAGTATGTTTAATGGACGTTTATTGGTGATAGAATTATGACAGTAATGACTAAGTTTATATTACAGCCAAGAACTGGTTACATTGTGAAATAGGAAAAATTAGATTTACGCCGTATCTCTCATCAAAAACTGAGTTTCTAAGGCCTTGAGTTATTGTATAAGCTTAAACAAACTATCAAGTGTATTGAACTCAAACTTTTACCCCTTGAAGTCACTCTGAATTTGCTGATCTGTCTTTATTTAGTTACTAATCAACAACAGCTGTACTCTTATACTCTGTGTTGGTAGATATGGGAACTGAGCTACTACGATTATTAGCTTTTAATGTCCACAAGTTTGTAGGTCGTAATTTGATCCTCATGTTTAATTACTTTACTTATTCACCCACTCGTTTGTTTTGCTTTCAAAACGCAAACTAATCATAAAGAGAAACACTAGTACAGTACTGAAGCGGACAAACTTGAAACGAAGAAGGACTTGAAAAGCCTAACATCTTAAGGGGTTACATGAATATTTTTAACAATAAAAGTGGAGATAAAACAACTGTATTTCCACAGAGGAGTAGCACTTTAAAAGAGATAACCTCAGTGTCCACTGAATTTTTGTAAGATGAAGTCTTTGTGATCTTAGTTCATTTACCTATTGGATGGAGTACGCTTTTTTAAAATGCAAAACTGGTTACATACACATAGTTCCCTTTATCATTTTGAAAAAACAAGAATAAAAATTCTAGCAGAATAGCATGAATTCATAATCATCTGAATAAAAGTTGTTAAATTTTATAAAAAAACGACATAATAATGGTATTACAAAATGTTTCCATAAAACAAGAAAAATGTAACAGATGAATTCCATTAGGCAGAACTATTTAACAAATAAAATATCCAAATTTATAATAATAATAATGTTAAAACTTATTAAAATAACAATTAACACTTGCCTGACCAACAAGAACCAAGTTTTGTAGACTTCTTGATAATGAGCCACTTGATGATAGACAATCAATTTTATTCTGCTGATATTTTCTTTGCATTAATTCAATTTGTTTAATTTCCTAAGAAAAACAAATAACAATATAAAATTGAATATGTAGATAAGAATGAATATACAAGTTACAAAAGTGGGGACCAATTAACTGATATCAAGCTGAGTGAATATAGATTATTGTACTGCAAGATGATAGCAACCGATGGTTGGAGACCTTGAATGAAATGGCTCAAAATCTTTTGCAATGGAGCAGTTGCATCTACTCTTTGTATCCCCAAAATTCTAATCTTCTGAATTCTTCATATCCCCATTTTTTTCTCTTTCCATATTTATTTCATTGGATTATACTCCCTGAATAACATCTTCAAACCATAATCTCTCTGATTACTGGTTATACTCTTATTACCTTTACCACTATGGGATTTGAATTGACAACTGCATCTCTGTGCTAATGTGGTATGGCAACTCGAACTGATGTACATACGTACGAAGTTCTTGGATTTTAGGAAACAATTATTCGATGGCTATATATATTTTTTTAACAACGATCACTCCAAAATGTATGATGTAGTGAACGTCCAGTGTAAAATCATATAACTGGACAATGACCTTTGGTCTTCAATAATTTTATAGTTCGATAAGTAAATTGTTTATAGCTTCAAGTAAGTATTCAAATTAGGATGAGATCTTAACTATGTACATAGAGAAACTCAATACCTGGACGGTGGAGAAATTTCGTAGATTGGTTGAAGTTAGACATTAACACCAACGGATGGCAGCTTAGTGGTCTAGACATTAAGCTTTCGTGAGCGAGACTGAATGTCCTGGGTTCAAATCCCGCGAGCAGGATAGTAGATGCGCACTGCTGAGGAGTCCCACAATAAAACGAAATGGTCGTCCACTGTTTCCAGGTTTCCCATGGTGGCTTGGTTTTAAATGGATTCATGAATTCAACTATTAAGTTACCTTGACAAACATTAAGCAATCAATGATATATTGACCGTAAGAATATTTCGATTAAAACTAGATATTATTCTGACTGAATACAATTTCCGAAATACATGACTTTTTAGTTTAAAATAATGTATTTCTATTAAGGGAAATAAAAAAGTACTTCCCTATTTAAATGAACATATTTTGTAATTTTAAAGTAATATAATTTTACGTGATTTGCAAAACCATAGTATGTGCTTGTTTAAATAAATGTTCAACTCAACTATTTTTTTAATAAAAATTGTTATACAATATTGATTAGTATGGCATTACCTACCGTAGGTTGTAGTTTCTCAATTAGATATGAATACTTTTTAGATAAACTTGGTTCAAGATTGACCAAATTTTGAAAAGTTCCAGGAGATGAATGATAAGTTGAATTTCTGAAAATAAGAAAATTAAGTCTAATACATCAAAGAAAACGACAAATCACCTTTTAATATTCTGTCTGAATATATTTTGATAATCAGACATATATTGTAAATAATTCAAAGTAACTTAAATAACAATAATTGACCAAGATATATGTTGAATATTTAAATTTATTCACAGACAGTTGAACAAATTTGTATGGAATAGAAATGTAGCATCGAACCAACACAGATGAAAGAAATAATTAAGATGTATATCAAACGATTTAAAATAATGGTGATGTTATCGATGGAATAAAATAAAATTGAACTTCAGATAGTTCGAAATGATCTAACGAAACCCTGAAATAATAATAGTATAACTGAAAATTTATGATAGGATAAATAATAAATATATTTGTTTCCTTGTAGCTTCGAAAGTGACAAAATGCTTAATAGAAATAAATACATGAATATGATAGGTTCCTAATTTCACGGTTACAATATGTTGAGACTCTTACAGTCTATGAAGGTAATGTATCTGCCACTCACTGTTTACTTTTACAGGAAAATTCTATACTAGTTTGCTTATTTCTTAACTGTTCAAGATGAGCAGTCAGTATTTATCAGCATATTATTAGTAACAGATATTTGTCCTTTCATAAATTAAGATCAAATTACCACTCAAATCGTTCAAATTCAGATGTTCAAGTCCTAATGTAGTAACTAATCTAAAGCAATTTCACCTCACGATGCATTTTATTTCATGTTATATTGTTGTGGATAAGTGGCAAAGAATCATTCAATTATGTTTTATACTACTTTGTACCGATCAATATTACTTATCTATAATCTTGAAATTAATAACGAAGTATTTATGTTTGTTAAGATTCTCGAAATAAGATAGGGCTTTCTAATTTTACTCACTACAGAAAATTAAAAAAACATTAGCTTCCAATTTATCTTTTGAATGTTTCCCTTCAGTAACTTTCATTTCATATCCATACAGTTTCCCTCTGGTTAATCTTTCATTGATAATAAGATCACTCATTTAAGATGAGTTTTCGGAATGTGTTATCAAACCATTTCAACGGATCAATCCATTAGAGGGGAATCAGTTGAAATAGAAATCTCTTCATCAACAACAATTTCGCGTCACTTGGAGTCAGATGAAGGTTAAATACCAAATACGAAGTTCTACGTATCAAACCTGAAATTCTAAAGAATATTATTGTTAATCGCTAAGAAAGGCATACATCTCAAGTAAATAATCCTTATGCAGTAATGCTTGGAAATAAAAGATTCCAGAAACGACTTCTTGGTGTTTTCGCCCCAGATCAAATGAGGTATTAGTCAATCCAGTGGCAATTTCTTACAATTAAAGCTAACTGGTCACAAATTTATGGGCTCTTTTTAATTAATATGAAGTGCAATTAAATTTCGTTATTTTTATTTAAAGATTGAATTCGACTAGACAAAAGTGATAGATAAAAACATATGAATCATTTTATCCTAGCCATTAAAAAGATCTGCTTGAACTAAACAACATAAAACAAATTTTCAAATTTAGCATTATTGTATGAATCAGTTATAAACGTCTTAACATTCGAACTCGTTCAAATATCGAGTAGAATAGAACCACATTTGAGAGCTATAATCCAGTCCGCTCTAACTAATAGTACACTATACAACCAGAATAATTCACGCTTCTATAATGACAGTTATGAAATGTTTGTGCCTTTTGACTGTAGGTAGATATAATAGCAGTAATGTATGATGAATAATTAATACATTTACGGTACTAGTAAATGTTTCATGTTGTGTTTTAATCTATTATAACCATACAATACAACTCCAGTCTGCCTACATCTAATTTTTGTTTGTTTCGCCGAAGTTATAACTTATTTAGAATGAGTAGCTTTTCTCTAAACTATTTTAAATTCACAAAATTCTTTTAATATGGAGGCTTTGATCACTAGTGAACTATCAAACAGCAGCTTTTGTGAAACGTTTGGACTCTGAGTTAATACGATTCGCTAAAGTTGTGTAATTTTTTGCGAGCGCGAAACAGAAGGAATAGTAGTATTTTTCTTCGTTGAATAAACCTTTTAGTATTGATTGTAACCCATGGTGAAAAGGTTTTTTTGTATTTATTCTAGTCGGATCTTTCAGTTACAGTAAAATATAAGTCTCAGCTTTTTACTTTCAGTGTCTATCACCTTTGAGACCTTAAAAACACTTATTCTAGAGATCAGGTTTCCTGTTTGTTTATTTTCTTTGCGCTTTAGGAGATTTCCTTTTCTTGTTCTCTCTGTGAGATCACTAAAGTTTTAATGGTGCAAGTAAAACATCATTGTGGTAGGCCCGCATGCTTTTTACCGGTCGAAGATGGGATGCAATGTGACAACTGTGACACGTGATATCATAACGTGTGCACCGGACTCACATTGGCTGTAAATAAAAGGTGAATCTAGTCACCATCACGTTGGTTGTGCAGAGCATGTTGCTCTACAAAATCTTTGCTAATTCTTGAGGCGATCGAGCTGATAAACATACCTAGAAAGATGCCCTCAGATAAATAGCCAGCAACAGATTAACAGTTTTCAGTTTTTGAGGGAGCAGTGAGCGTTATCATGAGTCCGGCTATGAACTTAAATGAAACCGTCAAGGTGGACACTAATAACGCGGAGGATAACAAAAACACAGATGTGGGAATGGTTACAAGAAAAATGAAAAATCATGCTGAGAAGAAACAAATTATAGGGAGCCCTAAGATATGTGAGTCGACGGTTTCAGCTCCGGATTCACATATCAACGCAAAACAGACTATGGAGGAGTAAAGCCTAAGTGGTGTAGATGATGTCAGTCGGTCAGCTACAACGTAGGGTCAGTCACATATATACATCGTTCTAAGTTGCCGTACCTAGTTAGCACGAAACATTAACACTAAATTCATAGACGTAGTCACTTCAATAGCAGTAATGTGTAAAAGAAAGATTGTGTATAAGAATATAGTACAGGAAGAAAGAAGTAGTTGGTAGAAAGAAAGATATGAAGCAAGTTTAATCTGACGGTTTAAGTAAAGACAAAGTGTGTACATACCGACGCCATTGTGAATGATTCGGAGCCATATCACCGAGAGTCTTTAACCAATGGTTGCGATAGTCACGTGGACCCCAACCAAGTAGTCTGCATCTACCAACATGGCTATGACTAAAAGTTAGTGACATTACACATTGACGCCACGTTTTTGTTTGCCCCCCCCCCCAATTTTTTTCCAACCGTTTCCAACACCTGTTAGCATTGCGCGTCGTCGTAAACGGTGTTCAGACATAGGTAACACGCGGTCCAACCATCTCAGTCGATGAAGATTGGCCTATAGTTATACCCAGAAAAGAAAACGGAAGGAACCAGAGCAAGACATTCGCGTCTGACTCTGAATCGGACTGCAGGGATGGGCAGATTTTAAGAAATGAAACTCCACAACTTGTTAGCACGAACCTCGCTGACAGGTCAGTCATTTTCTTAAGCAGCCAAAGGCTTGATGTAAACACGGCCTCAACTAAATTAAGTCCTTAATAAGCAAACTACTTCCAGAAACAGTAGCAGGAGTTAACATCCATGAGCTATACAGAATAAGACAAAAATTGGATTCTGTAAGTACCCAGAAAAGCCGCCTCTTAAATGTTACCTTTGCCTCTGCTGAGGGATGAAACTCAATGCTGAAAAATTGATGAAAACTGACTGGACCCGGAATATATGTCCGTGAGGATTGCAGCCTGGTTGGTCATATTAAGAGACGATCGGCAAAGGTAAAAGTAAATGAGCGCCACCGGAACGGCGAACTCCACCTGGAGCCCCTCTGCGTTGCCGGTCACGAGCCCAGATAAAGGAGGAGGGTTGGGCATGCGGTTAGCAACACTATCCCGTAAAAAATTAACTCTCTATGTAAACGCTAACCAGAAAAAAAATAACTCAAACTGTTTAAACTCTGCCCTTGGAGTTAGAAGGTCTTCATTTAGAAGAGTTATGATACTACATGGTGGAAGCCGAGTTCCTTCGGAAGTTACTAGGCTGATATCCTTTCTGACAATCAGAGCAACCATTAATTTAGGTACATAGAATGCTCGTACAGTGTCGGAGACCGGAAGAGCCATCCAAATCGCTACATAAATGAAAAGATACAACCTGGAGGTGCTCGGAATCAGTGAAACACAGTGGAAGCAGGTTGGACAATAACGACTAGCTTCAGGAAAGCTGTTGTTATACTCCGGCCATGAAAAAGAAGATGCTCCACACACACAAGGAGTTGCACTGATGCTATCAAAACAAGCACAAAATGCACTTATAGGATGGGAATTTCATGGGCCGAGAATCATCAAAGCTTCGTTCAAAACAAAGAAAGAGGACATTAAAATGGGCGTCATCCAATGTTGTGCGCCTAACAACGACAACAATGAAGACGTTAAAGATCAATTCTATGATAGGCTGTAGTCAATCGTCGAAAAGTGCCAACAAAATACTTGACCATACTGATGGTAGACCTAGATGCCAAGGTCGGAATATACAACATCGGATATTAAGACATGGTGGGACGACATGGACTAGAGAAGGGGACGAAAATGTGCCTTTAATAAACTGGTTATAAACGGCGCTATATTCCCACACAAATGCATACACAAAACCACATGAACTTACCGGGTCACATTACACAGAACCAAATCAACCATACCTACATCAACATAATGTAGACTTCGCAGACGATCTGGCCCTTCTATCCCAAACGCAACAACAGATGCAGGAGAAGACAAACAGTGTGGCAGCAGCCTCAGTAGCAATAGGTATCAATATACACAAAGGGAAAAGCAAGAATCTCCGATACAACACAGCATGCACCAATCCAATCACAATTGACGGAGAAGATTTGGAAGATGTAAAAACCTTTACGTATTTGGGCAGCATCATTGATGAACAGGGTGGATCTGCTGCAGATGTGAAGGCGCGGATCGGCAAAGCAAGAGCAGCATATTTACAACTGAAGAACATCTGGAACTCAAAGCAACTGTCAACCAACACCAAGGTCAGGATTTTCAATACAAATGTCAAGACAGTTCTACTCTATGG